TCTGGTAAGACATTGTCCCCAGGGGCTCTTCTCGCCGTTCTTTACTTTTCTTCATGCCATATTTTTCCGCCCGTTTAGACTTTCCCTCGTCCCCACTATCTGCCCCTGGGTCTCCGAGGATGTATATTTACTTCTCTCTCAATGGATTCCAGTTCTCGCTCCCACTTATTCCCTTCCGCTCTGGGTCCGAATACCCACTTCCAGGCAAGCATTGTTCTCAATTTTTCTTGGGACGGCTGTAATACTCAGGAGAATTGAAAAACAAAGGTTATGCAAAATTTTGGGGTAGCAAATAAGGTGCATTATGGGAAATGTGGAAGTGGCGCATACTTGTTCACACTGCACCAGCGTGTGGCACACTTTCGAGATCAGAGTGGCGCAGCGTTCTCTTCGTTACAGAACTGAATTGCGCCAAAATCACTGCTCTTATGTATGAACAAAAGCCCTGTCCGGTGTGGTTAACTGTCCGGTACAGTGTGAACAAAGGGTAAAAAAAGATTGCAAAACTGAAAAACCTTATTTGTAATGCATCAGTCAATCCTACCTGCGCCCAGCCACAACCCCCCCGGGGGCTGACCCCAAGGTATTGGCATTTTTTTGGCCTTGGATGGCAAATTCCCGGGGGTGGGGACTCTCGAGTCTCGAGCTGTCAAGTCCCCCGGTGCGGGGACGAAAAAAGAGGGCAAATGCCCCGTCCTTCGTCAACACTGCAACATTTTTCATTGATCGCACAGTCAAATAGTGCCATTTTAAGCATTTTAAAGTGCGATTTTTTTGTTTTAATTTACGTCTTCCTTTGTAATAGCGCTAGGATTCTAATTAAGACTTAACGCCGCGACGACATGCACCAGTTTATGGTCTTAGTATTGATATAAAATTATTGACATTACAATTAATAGAGCACTGTAAAGTTATATGTTATGAATAGTTTTATAAATATGAAAGAATGTTCTTCAAATAATATCAACATAAATTTGATTCAATAACCAAAAAACGTTGATTCACATCGATAGCTCCAATTTCGCTATGTAATTCTGGCTTGATAAGTAATGGAGAAATGTGTAAATACATGTAAAATCGAGAACATGCCTTTATAACCCTCTACAATTTATTCCTGTCCTTGACAGATGAGCCAATCTGCTTTTTTTCCAGTAAAACCTTCTGTGTAGTTATATTCTGATAGGAAACTGCGTGCGTGTCAAAAGCTCGGGAATGGCCCAGGGGTTGGCAAATGCCCGGTCCCAGGGCAGTGCAAAATTTGCAAATGCCCCACCCCTGAGAATGACAAGGCGGGCAAATGCCCCTCAGTAGCCCGAAGGGAAGGAGGGGGGGGGGGCTGGGCGCAGGTGGAATTTACTGATGCATAAGTCGCATGAAGCCAACGGCATAAATCGTTAATATTCCTCCATAACTACCCAGACCGCGCCTCATGTCCTACACTAGGGAGTTTTAAGGGGCTATGTCACCCCACACGCATGCGCGAGCCAATGAAAACAAACTTGAAGAAGTCGGCCCGACTTTTTCAAGTTCTGTCGGAGATTTTGGAAGGCTGTTTTTATCTGTCTAAAGTGGACTTTTTGCACTTTAGAGCCGTAATTGGGCAAATCTTCTCTATAAGAGTTAAGACAAATTTGGTAGTTCAGTGAGGGCATATAAAATAGAAAAGGCGCTCTTTCGGTTTCTTTCGGCCGCTCAAAAACGTGGCTGCTTAAACTCCATACTCGGGCCAGGGACGCGGAAAGGTGCCTAACTTATGGCTATTTTTCACAATATACATTACTTTGCGTCTCAGTGGCGCAATCAGCTAATCCCTCAGTTTGGGTCTCATCTGATCTGCCGGGTCACACGTAAGCCGGTTCAAACCCTGGGCAAGCCAGAAATAATAATTACTTTTCTTTATTTCTTCCAGAAGTAATAATTATTTCTTCCTCGTAATTATTTCTTTCCCCTGAAAGAATAAATTAAAGAACTACCACCTGTTTTTACGGTTTTGACGTAACCGGGGATCGTGACATGGCTCCTTTGAGGTGAACTACAGCATTACGGGCTACGTTGTGCAAAAAAAAAAAAAAAATACTTAAAACAGGAAAAGCAGCGGGTTTTGTAAAAACAGCTGGGATGACTTAGTCCATTTCAGTGGTCTCTGTAGCCTGCGAACAGCAGACGCATTTCCGGTCGTCGCTTCTCTCCCTCGGAGGGAGAGAAGCGACGACCGGAAATGCGTCTGCTGTTCGCAGGCTATGGTCTCTGTAGCGAAATATAAGACTGATTTTTCAATGCCCTGAAGTCTTGTACCGAGATTCCACGGCTTCTTTGGTCAGCGGTTCTCGTGAAAATTTGGGAATTGAGAGAGGTGAGCACTCCTCTCCCACCAACGCACTCGTATTCCAGAGGCTCCTATCTAAGCAACAAGGAAGCACACTCTACCAAATTAAACTCCACCATTTAAACTAATGCCAGTAGCTTACGCATGCGCATAGCCCTATTACTCGCCCAATGGTAGCTAGGGCTTTCCACAAGTTAAAAAAATATATATATTCCCGACTGTAAAATCAGCCTTGCTTCTTTTGTTTTATATTTTCATTTATTGCTGATTGGATCCTTTAATTTAATAGGATCCGGTCCTTCTCTTTTGTAAGCTGGTCCTTTCTTCAAAAATTGAATTTCCACAAGTTGCTCGAAATTTCCTAAAAAGTTTCCCGTAACTTCTCAAAAAGTTGCTCAAAAAATAAAAATGAGGCCTTTGATGTGGCCTACAAGAAAATTTCTCTAATACGTCAGGCCCTGGTTGTTCAAACGTTGGATAACGCTATCCACCGGATAAATCTCTATCCAGTGGATAGCGTAATTGATTTCCATAATACCTATCCACTGGATAGTGATTTATCCGGTGGATAGCGCCATCCAATGTTTGAACAACTGGGCCCAGGTGATTGGGAAGACGAGAGAAGCTATCGTATAGCGACATTACAGAATGCCTCACTATAATCTCTTTTTATGTGTTCAAGTTAGGTGTGAAAGCTTTAGATGTGGTATACTGTTTACAAAAATAGTAATTAGACCTTCCTTGGACAGTTATCAAGTCATTCAAAGCTTATAAACAGACCAAGTGATATCACCGCCAGAAGAACAGGTGCCTTAAAATTCAGCCAATCAGAAAGGGTCATTTTGAAACATGCCACATATTTTAACAACGTTAATGTATAAGCCGCTGGCAAAAAATTCTAGTATTTCCTTGTCTGGAAACGTTACATTCTTTGAGTTGAAATTCAGCTTTCCCAATTGCAATCAATACCAAAACACCGATTTGGGAGAATTTCGTCGCAGCTGGGGTACTAGTTTTCAAGTGGCATTTTCCCTTGTTAGAGAACGTGTTACGTTAATCTATATTCAACAGCTCCAAAATGCAGAAGCAAATTCTTGTTACGAAAGAATACATCGTAAACTACCCGGAGGAAACAATACAGACGGCTCTTGCAAAGGCGAAAAAGGGGACCTTGGAGCCCACCGACCTGATAACCAAGGTAGTGATCGTTGAAGGGGGTCCGAGTGCAAAGCAAACCCTAACAGCAAGTGAACTGGCTGAAATATTGGACATGCAGGTTGGCCACCAAACAAACAGGACAAAAACAGCACAGCTGCATTGAAAGGAGGAAGACCCAGTACCGTCATTTGTGAAGCATGTGGCTAAATCCCATGATTTTCGATAGAGACCTCTCTCCTTTTACCTTCCGTTTTTGCACTCTGGCATTTTAGTTTGTCAAGCATTCCGATCGTCAGTTGAATTGGAAAAAAAAAACAAGTGAAGAGCTGTCGTATTGGTTGGGACGGTAACCGCTCAAGCTGACCAAAAAAACTCCTTCCGAAGAACTTCAAAGTTCAGTAAAATGACTGGCAAAGACTGCGGATGCCTCTATATAGCTTTTAATCTATTGATTTTTTGTATCAAGAAAATAAGCCTTTTGTAGCTTTAAGCACAGTAAACCGAGACATTACTTAACTATGGCTAGCACCAAATCATTGCCAAAGACGTTGCCCATCCCTAGGCAACCTCGTTCCCAGGGCTTTTTCACTGTTTTTCACTGATGAGCTGGAAGCTTTCGATCATAATATGAACAAGCATATTCTCCACACTCCTCCATGCACGGGCGGATATCGGAGGGAGGGAAACTTTGAATACCTGTGCACTCCACTTGTTGTTCTTCTTCCTCGTCTTCCCCCCCCCCCAAAAAAAAACAAACAAAATAGAATCCTTAGGTCCTCCCCTGTCATTTCGTAAGGTTGCGTGTAAACTCAAGTCATTTTATGTTTTTACTTTTTCATTTGCTCTTTTTTTTCATTGCATGATTTCCCATTTCCTTACCTTCACAACCCGGAAAATAAGATGCCAATCACCAACATGGGTTGGAGAAGAACTAAAAGAAAATAAAAACCTGTTGAACACTGATGGAGTCTCTTTTAGTCAAGGGGTTAAAATGAAATTTAAAACGCATTTCAAAGGATTCCCTTTTTCTACGGAAGGCGCGAGACGGGAGAGGCGCTGCCCACGCACGTTTCGTTCCTCGCGTGGTTAATCCCTTCAATTCTGTAAACACTTGGAAACATCATAGGCATCATAATGATTATTATACCGTATCACTGGAAGGTATCACTTGAAGGAAGTATTGTTTTAACACCCATTTCCTCGCACACGGCGTCCGTTAACTCCCCTAACCTGCAAACCCTACCGCCTTGATGAAAACAGAAGGCAGACCATGAAGTTTACCCGCTTACCATTCAGGTTTTATACATGTGTATGATACATCGCTGCATCAAGTAAACTTGATAATGTCACGCATTGTTAATTTTCAAAAAGACAAAAAATGATTATAACTATCAAAAACGAATACAAAGAAACAAAGGGCTCCGACTGTTCCGTAAAATTCATTCCTTTGTTTTTCAACGCCTACTGCCTAAGCCCTCTAAGCACTGTGGGATAAATGAATTAATTTAAGCCGGTAGGGAAGCGATGAAAACGGATACTCGGTGTCGAAATGATATTCTTTACAAGTTTACTTTTCGGCGAAACACAGGCTGAACGATATTAGGAGGTCACTTGTGTCGCAGATATTTGCTCCGGGGTCTTATATTACAAAAATGAGCGGGAAAAAGAATCAAAGTCCTCTTCGCTAACAGCGTCTCTACTCAACTAGAATGGGTGATTTATATCATAAAGCAGCCCGCGATAGCGTTCTTGAACTTTTAAAAACAGCTACAAAACGAGATGCAAATCGAAGGGATGAGGATGGAATGTCTCCCGTACACTATGCCGCAAGTTGTGGAAATGTTGAGGCTCTGAGACTGCTAGTCGGAAAGGGGTAAGCTAAGTTTTATGTAGATTATCTGAAATGAAGAAGAACTAAACCGCAAACGAATAAATTTTAAAGCTAAAAGCGAAAATTTGTCGTGTTGAATGAGCTTTTATAGCTGGCCTGAAAGAACGATCATCTTTAACGTAAAGTAGGCTTAACTATTTTTTGTTTTGCAATACAGGATTAAGGGTAAATTAAAGCTCAAACTTGGCATCTGCCTACAAAAAACTGCACGGTGCGTTTTTAGTTTGCTCTTCGTGTATTCAGCTTTATAAAGCTTACTTGCCAAGCTCATTCTATGTACGTGTAAATTAAACTTAAGATATATTTGATTATCCGTTTCTTACTGTCGCGGTTAAATTTTGTAAATAGGCTACGTAATTGCCTTTCCCATTCTAAAAGCATTAAATAAAGGACTCGGCGATTTTGACTGTGAAACAATTTTAAAAAATGTGACAAATGTAAGTGCTTATTTGAAATAAATCCTGGAACAAGTCCTGATTTTTTTTTCAGGCTTCTAAATTGCGTTCACAACTGCGAGGATCATTCTTCATCTAATTTTCTCAAGGTTGACAGTGCAATTTAACGTATTATGTACTTAAGATTACTTTTCGACATAGGAAGTGTGAAGTAAGGCAGTAAACATTCGTTTGCAAAACAAAAAAATAAAATAAAATAAACAGGTTCGGTGAGTTAATTCGAGCCTCAATCAACGGAATTATTTTCAACTCCAATATTTACAACTTTCCATTCTTGTTTTGAAGAATTTTTAAAAACTGGCTTTGCGGAAATAGGTTAACTTAACTGAAGAAATCAAAGGGGCGTGAAAACGCATACCAAATTTCACCTAATTTATAAAATATCAGGAAGTCTTAACAGACCTGGAAGCTAAAACTATATATATGGATTTTGCAATGATTTTTTACGAAAGCATAGATAACATTGTTAAAACTTCATTCATACTTGGAGATCGAATAAAATACCTTTGAACTTAACAGGACCTTTAAAACCCGCATTGACGTTAGCTCATGCTAAGAAACCCTAGGCCATTAAATGCCATCATTGTTATCCATAAAGTTATCTATAGGCTTAAATGATAGAATTTGCTATTTGAATTGTTGGCGATCCCAAGGTACTTATTAATAATTTACCAGTTAGAAAAAACTCTTTGGGTTTCAAGAATTTGCATAATGGCTCCTCTGTTTGATAGACTAACCTCCGACAATAAATTCCATATGCCAATTTATTGAAGAGATGTTAAGAGGAGTTTATCTCTGGGGGATTACACATACCCCACACATTATTGACAGTGTGTCCCAGAATACCCTGTCAGTCATACTCCAGACAACCTTTTTTCAGGTCAAGTAAAACAGAGCTGTGCTCTAGCAGCAGCTGGCAGTCCCTGGAGAGTTCCTTTGCATTTGGATCACATGGAAATTGTTCGCCTCCACATTAATTGACGTAATATACTGGAACCCCTGGATTTCAAAGCTTTGGAGCTTTCCTCCCTCTCTACAATAGAAAAATCACACTGCCTTGAATACAAACTGTGTATTTAAGATGGACTCCCCATCAAAATGTTTGATCCACTCCTGATACCTGTTAGAATGGCATGGTGGAATTCAGGGGAACAGAGTATTCAAAATTATCAATTAAAATATCCAAGTTTTCAGTTATTTTCAGGGACTGATATTTCTTGACTGAAGTATTTTTGTGTTGATTACAGGGGCGATCCCAACAGACCTAGCCATGACGGTGCCACTGCAGTTCACATAGCTGCCAGTTGTGGACAACTCAACTGTCTTAGCTTCCTTACAAACTTCGGTGCAAATATCTGGGCTCTTGACAACGAAGGGCGTACCCCACTCGAGGAGGCTGCTCTCCATGGACACATGGAATGTGTGCGTCACTTGGATGGTCTAATTGCTATTCACATGATGCGCAATAGCAAAGAGGTAGAGAAACAAAGAAGACATGCCAAAAAGGACATGATGAAAAGGGTAAAGAAACAAGACAAGATTTTCCAGTCCAGGGAAAATGCATATGAAAAAAAGATTGCAAAGGAAACAAGAGCACGAAGCAAGTCAGAGATTAATGGTAGGAAAGGAACTTGGACTGGAAATGGTACCACAAAATCCCAATATCATACTGAGAAGGCATTCTCGGAATTAATTGGCAGTACATCAGAACTGGACTTGTCTGATGGGAAGAGTGTCAAATCTTACTCATCTGGGACGTTTCAGTCTGGAACTAAAAGCTTAAGAATGATAGGTGCATTGCGGTCAAAATTCAGCTCTTTGCGAAGCTCTGACAAAGAGCCAAGAATACTTCGTCAAAGGTCATTAGATGATTCTGGCCTGTTTGAGGATATGTCATCAAGGTCTCCATCACTCTTAGATCAGCTGGAACTTAAGGCAGCTGAGAACCAGCAGGAGAATTTGGTATTAGATTCCACTGATCCTTATGAGGTTGACGAATCAGATCTTGCCTTTGGTCATGTTGTGAAAAAATTTGATGATAAAGGCAATGTTACCACTCATGTTCATTATGTGCCAAAGAATTCTGTCAAGTTGAGGAATGGAAGCGTTGCAAGCCGCACTAGCAACAGCAGTAGTCACTTGAGCTCATCATTAAATGACATCCGAAGCTTAAAATCTATTGAACTTGAAGACACGTATTCGCAGTCAGACATGGGTGCTGAATCCACAGACTCTAAATCACTGGTCACCTTTATGGCTGCCCTCAATCTAGATCAGTTCTCAACCTTGCTGATCAATGAAAGCATTGATCTGAATACTTTGACATTATGTTCTGATGATGATTTAAAAGACATAGGGCTCCCTCTTGGCCCAAGAAGAAAAATACTTGATGCTGTCAAGAAAAGGAATGAGGCTTTGAATCACCCTGGACCAATGATTGACTCCAAGATATAAACTAAAAGTTCAGTGCAATATCCCATCTTTTAGCATAGGAGATTCTAGACTTTTGGCTGGGGGCCATGTCATGTGGATATTACTGATTTAGGTCAAATTTCATCAGAGAGCACTCGTAACGGTAATAATCTTTTTGGTTACTGTCAATCCATGTCCATCCTTTCAATCCATTGCGAACAGACAACAGGAAACAGCTTCAATGCCTAAATATAGTCTTAAATAACAAAACTGGTTCATTATTTTTGGAATTCAATTGATGAGATTAGATTTGTTTTAGCTTTTGAAAAAAATGGGAAATCCTGACATAGCCCCTTTCAAAATTTGAGTGTCAGTTTTCTCCTTTGGTCTGTTCAGGGAGGGTAGCTCCCTTGTGAAAGCTGTGACTTGTCATCTTATTTAGAGCATCCTCACTTGGAGACCAAGGAGTAGTCAGTTGGGCTGGGAGAAATGGAGTCACGAAAGTTTTCAAGCGTGGCTCTTCGGCTCATGCTTGAAAACGTTCACCTTGGGAGTGACCCAACTGACTACCCCTGGGTCTCCAAAGAAGTATTTAAGGGTGTAGATGTTAATAATTATTGTAGATTTTGATGTCACTTTAGGTATTCATAACACAGCACCTACATTATTTTTTCAATTAGGCTGGTGCTCAAAGGAGTAATATTAGTGTGATGTCATACAAAAATTGTAGACAGATCATGCAAATTCAATTCAAATTTGGGTAGTTCTTTCAAAATAACTAAGAGCTGACCGTTTAAGAATCACTTAGGTACTTGTCTAGAGTCAACTAAGTGTCAAACGTTCGCCAGGTTCAGATTGTTGGCCTTCAAAGCCCAGCTTTCACAAGGGAGTTCCCCTTCTGTTGACTTGCATGCTCCTTATACAGAAGAGCTCCCAGCCTAAAAAATGTCTGTCAACTGTAGATCAACAGTAAACTGACAGATCACCGCCAGGTTGCAGACAGTTGGTCAATACCAAACTTGAATGCAGAATATATTAGATCAAAAAAGGCACATATTGATCATGAAATTGTTATAACATACGTCTTCAGCTTGAACTATAGTAATCTTGCATTCAAGTCACAGGTTGGCTGGCTATATACATCACTTCCAATATTCCAGGTGATGCTGTCAACTGTAAGTGTAAGCCAGAGACACTCAATTCATTGAGGCTGGCATGTACTGTGGGCTGGTCTCAGCTTAACTTGTCTGTTTTGTGCAACTTAAAATTTTTAAAAAATCGGGCACCTCTCTAAGTCAGATAGAAGACACTATAAATATTAAAAACAAAATCAGAAAAATATAGTACCACAAATGAAAGATAAATACAAGATGGTTTGCAGAATATTCAATTTGTGTTCAGCAAGTGCAACACACACTGTAAGCAGTTGACAAGGGCACCAGGTACTGACAGGGTTCTTTTTAGAACCCATCTGCCTTATTTTGAGAATAACCCACTAAACTAAGTTTACATGGTTCAACAAATTGGTTTCTTGAGAAATCAAGGAAAAAGAGTCAGGGGCAAATTACTACCAAGTAAAAGCAATGTCAAAATGAATGCTGTCTACAGTTAGTGGATCAGCTGAGCTATGTTATCCATGCAAAATGAAAACAATCCAAGTATAGTCAAATCCATGGAAACACCATTAATATTGAGGTTTCTCTTGTCTTTGTAAGTTAACTGGGTTGGTTGATTGTCTTTTTTTTTTAATGCAGTTGAGAATAAACTGAAGCTAGACAAACTAGTTATTTTATTATTAGAAGAAACACACTCATAGGAACCGCTACAAGGCCTTAAAAAACTGAAAATAAGTTATAATGCATTTACTTCTTTTGAGAACTTGGTCCCCGAATAGAATATTAAAACTACTCGGCTTGATTTCTTCCGAAGTGGACACCTGAAAACCTGTATCAAAACCAAACAATGGTTAATTGAATCTTGGGCAATTGCTACAAGTTTACAATAAATAATCTTGAAAATTAATGTTTTCATAAAAGACTCATTGTCATTGGTTGTCACTTGCCATTGTAAATTGAATTCTACTCCTTTTCTTAATTTTAACTTGTGTAATCCCCATCCTTCTATATACTTGCTGTCTGAGAAATATACACCTATCAGGCAGAGGATTCCTGTGTACTGTCCTTTTATTTTTTTGGAGATAATAATTATTATCACTCACACTCATCCTAAGAACGACAGCACATTTAATTGTATGTTGCTGTAATCTACAGGTAAAATGGATTTTATTACTTTTCAATGTCACTTACGCTCGGAATGAGTCCATTTAATTTCTATTTCCTGCTTTCTTGTTAAGTCTTCTTTAGAGCCAATACTTTTGCTCTGTATTTTCCAAAGAAGTCATCTCCATTGATATAGCACCCTTGCATGGACCGCTTTCCTGTAAATGATGACCTTCCGTGGAGAACCCGCCAGTTACCCATGATCAACAACAAACCAGGAACCAACTTGAACCAGAATTGATTCTCAGGGGCACACGTGATAGCACTGTATGCTCTTAAAGCCTTGTAAAACTGAGTAACTTCATCATATTTCAACCAATCCATGACATCCATATCGTAATTATTAAACCTTATCTGGGACAAAGAGCCATCAAATGGATCTGTTTCAATGATTGGCCCATGTGCTTTCAAATGAAGGTCTTCATCCTTGTAGTGAAAGCGGGCAATCGTGGATGACAGGATTTCAAAGGACGCCTTGTCTTCTTGTCTCAGCTTTTCTGCTGCGAAGAAACCATCCACCAGCAAATTCAGTCCGCCTGTTCCTTCATGCCCAACACAATGCAACAACTGAAGCCCAGAAGGGTGGGAGAAATAGGTGCTATCGACGTGTCCACGGAGGTAATCTGAAGTGTATGCAGTGTCTGCATATTCCATCACCTCATTTGAAAATTCCCACACTTTGCCATAGTGTGTTTCCTTGACAAAACCACCTAATAGTTTAGACACATTTTCTACAGCATCAACAGTGGTGGGTGTATCCTCTACAAATGCAAAGCCATACTTAACAATCCGAAAAAAGAGTGTACTGAGTTCGTCATTGTCAGAAGTGATCTTGCCATATTGAAGGGGACAAGGTAAGTTTGTTTCAATGCTGTTTTTGTCCCACAAGAAATGCTTTTGCTTCTGTTCTGCTTGCCTGGTTACTGCAAAGGCACCTTGCTTCCCATAGCAATTCTGTTTTAACCATTCAGCGTCAAAATCAGTTTCATGGCTGTCTGGCCATTTGATTGACAAGCTGTCAGGACCATTCAAGGACACATCAAAAGGTTTAATGTCAAGGGGTATATCCACAATATTAAACTCTTTCTGATGTGTGGTAGAATTATAACACTGAGGACACCGGCAATGATCTCGCAGCCAGATGTGGTGAAAATCAGCAGTGCTTCCATCTGTCCAACTGACAGACACAGAATCATTGTTAGTAGTTATTGCAGAGATCCTATGTCCAGGGGACACAGCAGATGATTCATGTCTGACTTGAGTCAACGTCCTGCTGCTAAAAGGTAAATCAAATACGCCGTCAGCCTTTATTCACACTAAATAAAATACAGTCCCATTAGTGACTGTCTAAAATGCAAAGATTCAGTATCACTTAAACCAGGCACTTAAAAATACTGGTAAGATCATGTTGCCTGTGACTGAAGACCTTGTCTCACCTCAATAGGACAATTGCACGATGATGATATTTGACTACAACTACCAGAATTCATTTCGGTTTTGCTTTGTTATTTAAATTTGTCAATCCTGTTGAGGATTAAAGACAACAAACTCAAGGATTCTGGTAGCTGTAGTAAAATGACGTCATCGTGCAATTGTCCTATCGATTGCACTATTGGGCAGTGACAGTAAGCCATTGGCCTGGTCTTATTTATGGCAGGGGTATTTTGCAGAATGACGAACACCAAATGCTGAATGCAGGACGCCGAATAACTCTGAAGTTTAGTGATTAGGCGGGGTGGGGGGTCGATGGGCACGCTTGGAATTGACTGAGCAGAACATAAACGCTAATATCCCCGAGAAAAAAATACATGTACAGTGAAAATATTTGTGCATTCTGATTGAAAAAAAAAATTAAGTATAAACATGCTTGTAAAATTATATGTTGAATAAAATTAAGTAAAAATTAAGAATAATCAATCTAGCTAGTTTACAAAGTCTAGGCAGGTTATGCTTGGTTACGCAAGTAGTAGCTTGCTTAACTTACCTCCTCCCAAAGCAAGCCGTCCAGTTTAATAGATTTCTTGGTTTGTAGTAGAATCCACTCTTTGAAAGGCCACTAATAACCCGCAGAAAGGGCATTATTTTACACGAACTAAGGAGTTCAATTAACCTGTACTTCAGTAAAATCACTTACGCGATAATATCTTATCCAATAGTTCCCGTGGGTGGTACCCTAATAAAAAGGAACAATGTGGAAACGCATGCTCGGTAGCCGAAACTTGTGGCTTGGTAACCACTTCTTTCCTCCGTTCGTCTTGTGGAGATGAAAACATGGCGATAGTTGTGGCAGTGGGCTTGCGAGACTGATGTGATTTTTCCACCTTGTTACTCGTGAAATAAAGATTCAAAAGCAACGCATGGTTAGAAATAATGGATGAAAGAGAAAGGGAAGATTTTGAAGGAGGAAACGAACCTTGGGGCTTTACAAATTGGGAGAAACAATGCATTGAAGACCTCGAGTCGCAAGAAGATGTCGACGAGAGATCAACATTTGAAAAAGAGCAGGCTTTGCAGCGGTTAAGAAATTTGTTTCAGAACGCAGCAACAGCTTGTGCTCAGCTTTATAAAGGTAAGCAGTTTTCTTTTACTTATCTTTAAGCCGTTTCATTTCCGTGAAGTTTACTGCGTCAACACATAGTTTTAAAATCGAATGTGAATCTTGTACATCTATATTGTTTCTTTCAGAACGACACACTCGTAATCAAACCAGTGATCGCTTATGGAGCCCGTTTCAGGATACGGCAAACACAATAACGCTTCTTTACAAAGGTGCTTTTAACGTTCATTAAGTGACTATAACGTAAAAATGTCTAGCACGTCCAACCATAGCGAAACAAGGCATTTTGCGCATGCATGGGCGGTCCTCTCTGCGCATTTCCCTTTTACAACAATATGAAAGCATATTAATTTGACTACAAATCTTGAATATACATATTCCGTTTTTGTATGAGATTTCTTGATCTTTTTTGTTCCTCATTCTTCGCCAGTAACTCTATTCTTAGTTCGTCTTCAATCCGAAGGAGACCTTCAGTGATTTGGTTTTCGTATAATCGAGTCGCAACTTCGTCTCCTGTTGGTCAAATTTACAATCCCTTTGCATTAATGTTTAAGGAAACAAGTTATTAATCTGAAATTGTGCGATTATTTTGTAATTTATTTGCTATGAGCACTCGACCTTTGTATTAACGGTGGACACTTTGTGCAGCGCTTGTTCTTATGAATGATGTAACTTTAATGCGTTGCGTCGATAATCAATTAACTTATTGTTGTAAAGATGTGGATACATGGCAAACATATGTTTTTATAGGGTTTTGTCTTTGTAATTAAATCTGTGTTTCTTTTCCTTTTTTGTGGGCTGTTAGTCAGGCATCAATGTGACTTAACAAAACATCATTAAGTTGGAAAATGGGATATAAATTGGTTGGCATTTTATCTGTTTCTGGGAAACAAAGTTTTGTTAAAATTGTCAGATCTTCCAGTCCATTGCCCTTTCCACTCAGACATACAGCGAGATGTCTATTGAGCAGACACTCACAAAATCCTTGTTAGTTTTTGCTGCAGAGCGACGGAAGGGAGCGAGCAGCAACATAATCAGGATTTAAAGGAAATATATAAGGGGCAACGAATTCTCGAATTCATCACTTTTTACCACAATGCATTGCATTTAACCACACTTTTTACCACAATGCATTGCATTTAACCAGAGTGCATTGTGCCACGAACAACTCAAATAAAAACACGGGGAAGTGCGGTGGGTGAGAGACTTAGAGTTTTCTTTGTGGCAAATTTTCTACAGCACGGTTAGAGGTCTTACCAAATTTTAAGACACGCAGGAGTCTTTCAGATGAGTACGGTGGTTAACTTGGGGATTGGATTTCAATTCAAGAGCCTTTTTTGACTTGTCCAGGTGTTAAACCTGACGAGAAGATGAGCATTTGCTCTTCGACTCCGCAACACGGGGGATATACAAATTCCAGCTTGCTAGAAGGTGATGTGAAAGTGAGAAAATGTCATGCAATGCTATTCTTAAGAAACTGTATGAGCCGAAAATGGATGTGATTTTGACCATTCGCTTCAAAATAACAGCGGAAATCGAGATAACAAAACATATGTTTTGTGTCCTACTTTGCAGACGAGGGCGAGTATCGGCATTTTGAAAAGCATAATTATGTTCTTTCATTCATTTATTGCCATGGAATATGCGTTTACATTGTTTTTTCACTGCTAATAGCTCAGTTAATGCGGCTGGCGATCATCTTGCCGGCGGAAGTTTCATGGAAAAGGAATAAAATGAAAGACTTTTCCTAAAGACTACGTAATCAGCCTCTGTGGTGTAGTGGTTAGGTGTAGTCACGTGGAGTCGAATGTGCCGGGTTCGAGTTCTACTGAATTATTTACTCCTTCTTTCTTTTTTTTTCCGTTTTTTGTGTTGTTGTTTTCTATAAATTTATAGCTAAATAACTGTTACTTAATAAAGTGCAACAAACAGCAAGAAAAGTATTGTGTTTCCAGAGAAAATATCGTGCACCATAAATATATGGATAAACGATCTGAATTTCTATTATTTCCTACAATTTATTGTGGGAAAACTAGAGTTGATAACCACTTGATCATTTTCTAAACAACGTTCCCACGAGTTCTTTCTATAGACTGATAGTAATTATTCTGGTACTTTCCAACATGTAAATAGGACATTCAATGTCATTTTTGATTCTTTTAAGTCTCACTGCTTAACTAATGCCAGCATCAACAGAATGTGCCGCAGCATTACTATCTTTTAGATACCCTAGTTGCTAATGTAATTTATTGCTGGTTTGCAAGTCACAAAATCAGAATTCAAAATAAAGCACTGTCAATTCTGCAGTGAGATGTTAGAGGAGCTGAACACTCACATCCTGATTTGGCTTTAAGTTTTCTTATTAAGCACATGTAATTGTCAAACTTTTGCTTGATGCAGCATTAAATTGGCGACAAGAATACTGTCACTGAGCAACATTGAATCCGGTGAGAATAAACCTTAGTTTATTGAGGGTTTCTGTGACATGTTTGCTTATGGTATATTTTTTTCTTGCAGATGGAGCTGATTCTTACAAGCGTGGCATGGAACTGGGATTTCAGTCTGGTTACCAAAAGCGTAGCAGAGATGTTCTTTCTTGGGCAAAGAAGAAAAAGAAAATTATTCTTCGTGAGGAACTGTTATCTTATTTGGCGGGCCGCTCTCCTCCCAGACGGTCTCAGGATGCAAGACAAACTGTGACTGCAACAACTTTAGGATCAAATTCAATGGTTTTGCCCTCTGAAACAGACTCTGATAGTGTTGAAACTGGTGTGCAGTGCTATGGTTCACCTTTTGATTCTATTGCTGTTCGACCAGAGATCAATGCAAATTCTTTTTTTGCTGCCAGTGGAGGCCTAGGTTCTTATCACAGTCCTCGTCGCAGGAGTCATTCAGATGCAAACTTTGGTGACACTGAAGCAAGGGAGGGGAGAAAGCGGTCTGCATGTTCAGCCGACATTGTTATGGAGTCACCATCACACAAACGCAATCGTTATTTCTGAAGAGAGTGATATATGACCTTGTTATGTTGAAAACTATGATAATTATACTTTTGCAAGGTTAACAAAACATAAAATACTGTAATTTTCAAGCTATGTGGTTGAGGTTCAGGATCATGAAGCTTTTGATGTGTGATCTTACAGAGCACTACAGCTGCATAAGGACTCATAAAAGCTTTAGGTGTGCATGTGATTAGTTGATTTATTTTGAATTGTTTACTACTTGAGATGGAAATGATATGAATAACTAGTAAATATGTTTAAACTTTATTGCTAACCTATTGTTTTGATCTTCCTGTGCCTATGGTTTGGAAGAATCCTCAGTATCACCCAACCCCACACAAGAGCCAAGTTGTTCGGAGATTGTTTTCCTCCCTCCTTCATCCTCAGTCCCTTATTTTCGGAATGTGTTAGTTAATGATGCTAGAAGGATGTGTCTCGCAAACCCTTGTGATACTTGGTGTGGCACTCAAGTTAAGCCAGCCACAGATATCCTGTCATGACTCCTTCGTCTTTCTCTCGTCTCCTTTTCTCTTGTTTCATTGTCATATTTGATTCTGTACTGCATTTTGCAGGGTGTAATGCATTTTGCAAAGCTTAGCAGGGTGCGAAGAAAATCATTTTTACAGCTTGCCATTCGGGCAAGCTGAAGCTAGCATTTACTAGCACAGACATCATTTCAACTAGCCCCAAAAGCTTTTTGATGAGCAGAATTTATTTCACAGTTCTTCTGTTATTAAAAATCCTCAAAAAAACATCACTTGCCCGTCGGGCAAGTTAAGAACAGAATTCACTAGCCTGATAGAAAAATCCACTAGCCCTGGGCTATCGGACAACACTTTCTGTGCAAACTGCTTAGTTAGCATTATTTCGGTCTCAGACATTCAGTGCAGATATGCAAATTTGCATGCAAATTCAACTGCTTATAGATGTACAGAGCTTTGATTCATTTTTTGGGAAAAGGGCCAAGTATATTGTGGCTTGCCTTGGTGTATCATGAATTCAAAGATAGATTTCAGGGAAAAAAGCAAGGTTTTTATGGTAAAAAGCCCAACTGAAACTCATAAACACATAACCAGCAAAAGAAGCAAACTCGTTTGCAAAGTGAGACACACTGACAAATCTTTGTCCTCTATTTTTTATCTTAATTTTAAACTTCTAGTCCAAATTGCTTCAATGTTCCCTGTTCCCTCCACCAAAAGCATTTCTTGATCACCAAAATGGCCACAAAAACAACAGACCAAGTATGTTTCTTGATGACATCATTGTGGACACCACCAGATTTATCCAAACATGTACAGTCAACTCTAAGACGGACACCTTTGGGACCGGCACTAGGTGTCCATCTTAGAGAGGTGTCCGTCTTATAGAGAGTCAAATAAAAGGAGTAAAGAAAGGCAACTCTAAGAGTCCGTTTTACAGAGATGTCCGTCATATAGAGGTGTCCATTAAGAGAGAGTAAACTGTATAGGGTGAATTTGTCGGTTCCTTCAATGTGCTATGTTCCGAGTGATCTGGATGATCCCAAAGAAACAGACCCATAGACTTGAAATATATGTGGGCCAGCCTAGTTTGCAGGCTGCTATGATCTACACACTGCATGCACAATGAATTTATGATCCTTGGCTTCTTGACGGATGGTTGGAACACACTAGGCAACAAGTTGCAGTAACAATAAAAATGTCACAATGCCGGATCACTCTGTATAAAGGTTGGGCAACTACCGGTAGTTTCAGCAAGAAGCGATTTGTCACTGCAACATGGTGCTGCAACCTTTTGCCTAGTGCGTACCGACCTTAAGTACAAGGAAGCACAGCACTCCTGCACATGCTCTGTGGTTCTTCCAATCATCCCCCACCCTTGCTTTGCTTGCCATTTGGAAGGAATGGGGCAATGCAGCCCCTTGCCGTTTTTCATGCTCATATATCTCTTTGGGCCATTCCCACAATTTGAACGCCTTGAACAGGCTAATGAAAAGCATGTAAAAAGTGCAAGCAGTCAGGGTTGTGTGAGAGTGACACCAGTTCCACCTCCTAGCACCCAGCCCTGTTTTTGCTTCTACTAATAGTAAGAATGAGATGGCTGGAAAAGGCTTAGACACTGTGCAGTAACACTGAAGTCCCAGAAATTTGACCTACTAGTGACTGTAAACCTGACCTAACTATAATAAGAGAGATGGTTGACAAAAGTTCTGAACTAAATTTTAATAACAAATTTATTTAACTGTACAATTCATCAAACTTCAATTTCCACAGTTCCTCCAACTGCCTCCAGAACCTTCTTGATTTCTTCAGCTTCCTCTTTGCTTGCTTTCTCCTTCACATTTTGAGGAAGTTCTTCCACAAATTTCTTAGCCTAAAATTTATTGACAGATTGTTAACAAAATTGGAGTTAAAAAAAGCATCTTTAGACCTCCCTTAATTGATACTTATATTTTGGCAAGAAAAAATAGGATGTTTATCTTTAGCAGCCGGAATGTCTACAGGTGCAAGAAATTTAATTGGATGAGTTTTTTTCCCGATTAAATATTGAGTACACATTGATTTCAGTGAATAACAATGAAGTTCCTCAATGTTTCTGGTGCAGATGTTTTTGTGGTAAATAGGGATGTCACGCATTGGGCAAAGTGAAAATGGCTTAGAACGCGGTTTTTGTCGAACAATGGCTAAACTCTGTTTAAATAACTGGCCCAAAGAAACCAGGACATAACTCCTTAAGATAAAGTGCAGTAGAGCCCCATCTCACGACCACCTCATTATTTTTATGATGAATACAGATGTATATGTTGTAGTTAATTTTTTATCCCAGTTAATTTTTATTTTTCCATTGTTTTGGGGTATGGTAATGTATGCTAATGAATTTTAAACAAAGGAAAAACAAAAATTAACTAGGATAAGAAATGAACTGCAACATATGTAACACTCTACAATAAATTAAGTGAAATAGAAACTTCTTCTCTCTTGTGAACAATGTTTGCATAATTTTCACTTCCTTTTGAAATAGACATTTACAAGGTAGGAAAAATATCCACTTCACTAATAAACTGCTATGAGAGACATTCCTTTATGGGCATCATATTTCAAAGGCAAAATTTGTATTGCAATATTTATAAAATTATTTTTGTATTTCTACACTAATACTTACCAGAAACCAACTAAAAATGTGTAGTCTCAGGGTTTTTTGATTCCAGCATGCATGGGAAAAAGAATTTCCAAGGAAAAAGTGTGATGAAGATGACGAAACTGCAATAACAGTGTTTGCTGTACTCATTAAAATAATAACTTACTTGGACCAGGTTAAGACCTTGAACAAGATTCTTGATCTCTTTTATAAGTTTGACTTTGCTTGCAGCATCAAACTGTGTCAATTTGACTGTAAACTCTGTTGGTTCTGCTTTTGCTGGTTCTGCTTCTGTTTCCTAAAAAATAAAACCATTATTTGTTCAGTAAAGTGGGCACATATTTAATCAAAACTTTTAACCCATTCGCCCCTAAACCACCCATAACTGCCTGCGCAGATCCCGGTCCCTTCTACCAATGCTTATGTCCTGCTTTGTTTCTTTAGTATTTTGTTCAAATACAAGATGTATTTTTTACTAAAAATAATAACATGAGCTGCTTAAAATGCACACCCCATTAAAACAGACTCCTTCTGTGACAGGGTTTGACTGTGCTCAAGTCTTGTTGTGGATGGCATTATTCGCATCTAGCATTCTGTGTTCAGGGACCATATAATTTATGCCATTTTATTAAAATAACTGTGTCTCTGTACTGTCTGTAGACTGTCTAGCGACAAATAAAAACAGTGGCTCACCGGAGCAGCAGCTGGAGACATAGGCATTGCACCCATCATTGGCATCATCGGTGCAGCTTCAATTTTTAATGTTGTCTAACGTGAACAAAAATAGTAGTAACAATAACAGTAATTTATTACTTATGAGGCACAAATTAGCATATGAATATGATCAAATGCGCACTTACACTTATACAGGGTTTGTACTCTTTTGAGTCCTTCAAATTCCATGACTTTTCAAGACTTTTTCAATGACCTTTTTAACCTTTCCATGACCTTAGGTTTAGCTGTCATGTTTGAAAATTTTCAAAACTCTCCTTGTTTTAGCACATTCTTTGACCTTAAACAGTTTAACAGAAACAAATTCTGGTATCCACCAAAATGCGTGGGTGTTTAATTACTCTTCTTTGTCTTACATTATCTTGCTTTATCATCTGTAGCAACTAATCTGCACAAAACCATGTTATATCTACCTATCTGCATACAAACTACAAAATAAACAAGCAAAGTTACATAACATAATCCCAAAATAAATTAAAAAACCTAAAAAACTGATAAGAAACATATAAAATTGCAGTAAAATATGATTAAAAACTAAATCTAACACTAAAATACACAAGTAATCATGCTAACACAGGCACTAGGTGTTACAAGCAAATGCTTTCTTGAACAATAATTTACATCTAAACTTGCTCCTTTGAAAAGATCAGAAGCCAGGCTGATTGCTCTTATTTCAGAGAGTAATGTATTCCATGATCTAGGGGCTGCTATATGGAATGATTTATCTCCAAGAATGAGCTTGATTCTTTTTTTACATGGGTTAGGACAGTTGATGAAGCTTTGCAAGGCTGTGTTTGAAGAAAAGTTGAAGGGAGCCCTATATTCTCTGAGCCTGTGTAATCCAGAATTTTCCAGCATAGGATTTCTATGAGAAAACTAAGATATCCTAATTGCGGAAGAGCAAAAGTAAGATGCCGGGGCCCACTGGCCGCTGCTAGAGCACGGCCTTTATAGCAGATTATGTTCAGGCCCATAGAAACATACCGTATTTATTCGATTAACCGCTTATTAAATTCTTGTACCTTGAGAGTGGGCGCTTATTCGAGGTGGGCGCTTATTCGAGGCTGGGCGCTTACTAAATTTTCACCATTTTCAGCAAGTCAAGTATGTTGATTTTGCAAGAAAACAATAAATGCTAATAACAAAATGCGAAGAAGTAACAAAGCAAGGTTTCTGTAAAATACTCTGAAGAAAACTCCGTCCTCAGGGAAGTCTCTTATTAGAATTTTTTCACTCAGGTGGGTGGGGTAGGGGTGAGCGCTTATTTGAGTTTGATTGGGAGGGGCAGGAGGTGGGCACTTATTCGAGGCTGGGCACTTATTAACTTTTTCTGCCTTTAGGACAGGTGCTTATTCGAGGTGGGCGCTAATTCGAGGTTGGGTGCTTATTCGAATAAATACGGTACTCAGGGTTTAAAGTTGGATTTCCCATGCGGCATAACTTTTATGTGTGTATGCACACAAATTTTATGCACTTGAATAGAATAGAGGCAATTATGTATGCAGGGTGCAAAGTTTACAGTCTTCAAGTCATCAGAAATGACCACATTTTAATAGTGACAACCAAATTGCAGGACATAGTTGGCCATTCGAGGGTTGCAATTTAAGCTGCAAACATCTTAAAGATATGATCAGTTTTTAGAGACCTTTAAAAGAACCCAAAACTATAATCTTTGGCTGAGAATTTTGCTCAAGAAATGGTACTGTGTAATAACCAGTCCATTTGTTGTAAGATTCGCAAACACACTGAAGATTCACAACTTCCATTCATTGCAAACAAGAAAACTCAGACGGGACCATAAGCCCTATAAAACCATAGCAAAACTCATGGATTCAAAATTTTCAGCTACACTGTACAGAGAAAAACTAGTCAATTTTGGGGCGGTGTAAAATGCAGACTGCAGACTGACTTTCACGGTTAGAAAACAATGGGACTATTACTGTCCGCTATTATAGTCCGCAGTCTGCGTTTTACACTGAATGTGGCTCGGTGACTAGGTTTCACCATGGATGCTTTGATATGGAAAGGCTTTTTAAGATAATAACCACCCTACATTACATTTATTGATATGTAAGCACACTTAAGGTTTTCTAAATACTTTTTGACAGATTTTAAAGGTTATTTAAGGTTATTTACAAATCATTTAAAGATTGTTCTTACAAAATTTGAGATTATTTGGTAAGATTTCCATATAACTCCATACATTTATTAAGCATGCAGCAATTTCATACTTTTTCTCACAAATAGTTGATATGAATAAAGTCGAAAACTGTATACATAATTAACGTATGGGGTTATACGCAAATCTTACGAATTACATGTATTTACATAAATTATCATCACCTTGAGTAGCTCATTCAAGTCAGCAACTTCTATAAGTGTAAGTTTTGATATTTCATCTACAATAGACTTGATTTTGTCTGGGTACTCCTTGACAGCATCGTCTGGCCGAGGCTGTGCTAGGGTGGAATCGTAACGTGTGCATCCACCGAACCGCCATCTTTGAAGAGCAATACACCATGTACATCTGGAAATTAAAAAAGTCAGTTACATGATTATAGAGTGCTGAATAATTTAATTGAATGCTAGGGAAGTGAATCGTACCTCAGACTGCTGTATGGTTGAGAAATGGTCGATTTGAAAGGTCTCAAAAGTCGCAATGCTCTGATGCCAGTTCTGGCCGCCATTTTGAATATCCCAGAATGCATCAATCAAGTGTGGATTTTAATGGGACGAGTTGCACTGGGCTCTAGTATTCTGAGAGGAAATCGAAATAGTCGAAGTCACACATAACACATACGTCTGGAGCACAGGAGTATTCTCTCGATGCCGCGATTACAGCCTTTGAACAGGTTAACTAACATGCCGTCAGAAAATTCTCCGCTTCTTGATAATGAAGTTGTAAGTTTTAGCTCCGATCATTTTGTCATACCCTTCCTTTTCGCGACGCTCTTTGTAATTCTTCTACAAAAACGTATACACTATTACAGACTGACTATTAGCTTACTTTGTTTTTGGTCGTAGCCTGGAGTTCAACACCAAGTAACCCGTAGAAGACGTTTGTCAGAAGCTGCTGACAATTCACGATCAGTATCAAGCGAGGTGAGTAGGACAAATCAAATAGGTTGTCTTATAGTCTTCAACATTCGAAACAAGATTAACAGCTTCCTAGGTACTTAACCCAAGCTCAGATTTTATTTCTCTCTCTTTTTTGTAGAATGGCTCTCTATGTAATTCAGTGTCAGAACCAGGAAGTCTTCAAAAGATCTCATCGAAATATGAGGTACCGCAAATAATATATTTCCAAACCATAGGTTCAATGCTGTTGTTGAAGACACACAGTTTTAGCTATTAATAACATCACGCGGTGTCACATGCTTTGAATTTTACACTAGTGCATAGCCTAAAGAATATAATCATTAAAGTATGCTGATGCCAATGATCAAGATGTTAAATTCCTGACATTATAACTTGGTTATGAATGACATCAATCAGTATTGATGGGTTATCATTGAGTAATCATGATTATGCACTTATCAGCAGCCATCCAGGGGATCGACCCCAGGGAACTTCCGGGCAGTTTTGACTGATGGTCCCAAAGTGAGCATGTGTACCAAACAAAATGTTTTCAGCTTTGTGCAGACTTCTATAAGACATGCACTCTTGTAGTCCTGAAAAAATGAAATTTTAGGCTTAGGTGTGGCTCTGTAAAATTTAAGCCGGCCCTTCTCCTTCCTGCCCCCAACCTCTCCCACCCCCTCACCTAGGAAACTGCAAATGCCCAAGACAGCCATGGAGTCATGCACAGCTACTGTTAAAAATTGTATTACAAATTAGGGATGTCCCCAGCCGTTTTGAAAGAGGGATTCCAACTTGCTTAAAGCTAGTCACTCAAGGAAGTTTAATTATACGGCATTAAGGAGGCATGCCCATGTCATCTGCTGTAGATGACCAACTTCTTGACATTTTTTCCTTATATCTCAACCTTATAAGATGAAAACGTAGTAATAGTCAATGAAAACCTTACCCTGGTTCTTGAACTTGTGCAAGAATTTTATTCCGGTACGAAATCTCACAACAGCATCATGTAACTAATTAAAGGAGCGATTACTCATTTTGGTATAAAATTGGCCTGCCAGTGGACAGGAATGGGTAGCAAATGTGGTAACTTTCCTCAATCCAAGATTTACTCTTCCAGTTTGGTTTCTGAATGAACTTGATTCTCTGTTTTCTTTTAAAAAAAACCAATGTGATAAGAATGGCCACAATGTTAATGGCCAATTCTATAAGAATTCTTTTGGATCTGAATTGCCTCTTTTGTGTACCTTACAACAGAGTTTAGATTATGATACTTCAGAAAATACTCTTTACTTCAAGGAACAGAAGTCTTATTCAGCAGAGGTAAGAAATGATTCTGCAGTATAGTTGAGAATAATAGTCTGAATTATTTTGTCCCAGAAAGTATCCATACCCCCTTTTTTGAGGGTTTGCTGGAAGTTCCAGTGAAGTTACATACTTTTCCTGAAAGTTTTGACCTCAAATCCCCCCTCCTCCTCCCTGTTATCCCTGGAAAATCCATTGACAGGGTTCATATGGGACGTAGAAAACTTGGAAAGTCATGAAGTTTAATAATTTCATTTTTAGGCCTCAGAAAGTCATGGTGGAAAATAGCTCTAATTTGCCATCTTCTTCCTGACACTTCCTTGTCAGGCTACCTACAGACCTGGGGGGTGGGGGTACTTCCTCATAAGAGTAGAGGCTAATGGGTATGTGCTGCTGGATAGGGTCGCATTTTCACGACTGGAGTGACTATAATGGGGTTGCATTTTCAATGGAGTTACTAGAATGCGGTTGCACATTTTCGGATTTTTGGGGGTAAGACAGTTCTTCATATTTATGGTTAGTAAATGTACCAGAGTGTTTGTACTGCAGATGAAAAGTAACGTGTTCTTCATTCAATCTAAAAATGGGTCAATTCATAAAAATAGAAAGTGACTAAGCTGGGATCGCGAAAATTACACATAACCATTTGCCCAAAAGTGACTACAGAAAAAGTTTGGTTTAGTGGCCTCTCCAATAGCACTGTGTCCTTTCGGTTGTTGTTTTTTTTTTTTTTTACACAGGAACGACTGAAAATCAACATCAATAGATGGGTGGTCATGTTTATCATAGGATTCATAACTGGACTTATTGCATTTTCAATTGACTGTTTAATAATAATCATAGCTGACCAAAAGTATAGTCTTATAAAGGAATGTATCCTTTTTATACTAATTTTGCCTCCGGTAGTGTTGCATCAACAAAATTTAACTATAAATATGGAGTTAACGAATGGAACTTGATCCCTAGAAAGAAAGGTGAAAAACCCATTGTACTGAAAATAATAATGATTATTATTAGTTCATTAACAGGCAACTACAGTGTTGCACAGGGAGTCCGTTTATTGATACACAAAGACAAACAGTTGTTAAAGTTCATGTTAACAGTTGAGTTAAGCTCCAGGGCAGGGATATTTTTTATTTGGCCAGATGCTAAGTTTCCTGTCGCTGTCATCTTTGATTTGGGTAACAGAGAAAGATTAGGGAGAGTGAAAGTAGAGACTGACCCCTTTGATTAGCTCCAACTCATTTATTTATTTATTTATTTTTGGAATTCATTGTGGTAGTTACTTCAGCAAGTTATTTATTAAAGTAGCTGCATGTTCAAAAAAAAATGTCTGCATTATAGGCTACAGTTGAGGTGGATAAATCTAAATTAATTTTAATTCTGAAAAAGTACAAAAAAATAATCATTATTTCATAATAACAAAGTAATGAAATAATGTATTTGTTGATTGACTAACAATAATAATTAATGAAAGATTTATCCCATTGTTTTTCAAATATGTAAAGATCAATATTAGGAACTTAACTGCAACCTTGAAGATATTGACTGGTGTACCAGCGGTGACTGTATGACTGCTCCTTTCTCATTATGGGTTGCGCTTGATGTGCTCTTTGTCCTTATTGCAACTGTGTTGGTTGTTTATGGAGAGGTACAGCTGCTTTAAAAATAGAATATTCCAAAAAAATCCTAATGCCCATTGTGGATGGAATGCTGGAAATTCATGTTGAAGGGGAGGAGGCATTAAAACATCTAGAAACCCTTGCCAAATATCAAAATATCTAGCCATCTTACTTTGTCAAGAGGTGTGGATTTTTTCTGGAATAACCCAGTTGAATGGTGTACTGGTAAATATACTCGTGAGTCTAGCAGGATTGAGCCTCAAACATTCAATCAACTTTATAATATCAGTTTTTATTGGCCAAGGCTGGAAAAAAACTAGCCTCTACTAATTGGTGATACCTATAATAATACCTACAGTAAAACTACCATTAATAATAAACAATTATTAGACTTCTCTGTATGACATTGTTTTTTCTTATTCTCACTTTGATGACTATTTAAACACCAAATTCAATAAAGTGAAGCCTGACAACCAGTTTCATTAGCTCTTTAAGTTATTTTAGTGACCTTTTGTTATATCTCCTGTAGTCTTACTGTTCCTCCAATAATTATGTGTTTTTATTTTGATATGATTTATTTTTTCAGCCTGTTGCAATCGGGAGTGGTATTCCTCAAATCAAGTGTTATCTCAATGGAGTACTCGTTCCTCATGTGGTACGACTTAAGGTATGTAGATTAGAAAGATGCAATAATTACATAATTAGTACCTAACAGAGGGAGCAATCTTATAGCTTCTTTTGTAAGGTATATATGTACATACATTGTAAATTCAAAGCTTTGTGTAATTTTTTACAGTGAATCTTTTAACAGGGAGGGTATTGTGGTGGTGCTCTCTTTATTTTAACTTTGTTTTAGCAGAATACTCATACCCTCTCCTCAAGAAGAACTCCCATATAAAAGTGACAGGGATGCTTGTCATCTTGCTTGGGGGTGTAATTATTAGTAATCACTAAAAAAGCTGTAACACCTACCACACAAAAATCTGATGAGGCATTCTATGTTAACATCTTTAGTGCAATAAAAACTTCTCTAACTGATTTAGTATGGTCCTCATTTAGGGGTCAGTTTAAGCTTGTGCCTCACCCAAATTCATCTCCCTTAGGGGTTTAATAATTATTTTAATTTTCAGACAAGCATTCCCATCAGTTATATGGGAGTACCCCCTCCGGTACCCTCTTATTGAAATCATTGCTAACCGAAGTATCATCATGTTCTTCATTAGACCCTATTCTGCAAAGTGGTAGGTGTAATATTCTCAGTGGCGGGTGGCTTGGCTTGTGGCAAGGAAGGTCCAATGATTCATGCTGGTGCAGTAGTTGCTGCAGGTGTGTCCCAAGGAAGGTCTACAACGTTCAACAAAGACTTGCACTTGTTTCATTATTTTCGTGAGGACCACGAAAAAAGAGATTTTGTTTCTGGAGGCGCAGCAGCTGGAGTGTCAGCAGCGTTTGGAGCTCCTGTTGGTAAGACTTTTCCCCGGGGGAGGGACTCCGTATATGAAATGGGTGGGGATGCTCGTCGTCTTGCTTAGGGGTATAAATTTCTGATTTTGGTCTCACTTAGGGTGTTCTAGGGGCCATCATATTTAGCCATGAAGGTCTCGTTTAGGGTTGCACACGACAAAAACATAAAAATATATATTTGATATGTATATTTTTATTGCCTTTTATTTATTCCATTCATACTCATTTGTCTGTGTTTTAACATGGTCTCTTTTAGGGGTCAAAAAAAGCTTGGGCCAGGCCCAGATCGGTCTCCTTTAGGGGTTTAATTCAAAATTTCCGACGATCTTCCCCACCCCTTTCATATGCGGAGTCCCCTCCCCCCCGGGCCTTTTCATCATTTTAGTCATTTCTCCTCTCCACTGGGTGTGTCGTTTATCCAAGGGTGGCATTTATTCATAGTAATTTTGCTTCCATCTGCGGCATTTATTAGAGGGCAGTGTTTAATCTTGTAGATACGGTACTCTCAAGACCTTTATATAGTTAAATTTCTTTCAATGTGGACGCTAACAGGACGTTTGAAAGTGTCCGTATTATTGATCTGGGTGTCCTTATAAAACAGGCTGTCATGGTATACATCTTCACAGACACCTGTTTTATCGACACAAAGGCTAAAGCATACACTTTTTTCAGGAACAAACTGAAGAAACCTTGGCTCATTCAAACAATTTTGCACTAAAAGTTTAAGTTTGCTCATTGCTTCAAAAGCTAATGATTTTGAATAATTCATGACTTTGCTGTCATTTTCAATTTGCAACACAGCTAGATGCATATGAACTGTGTTTTAACCAAACCTTAAAAATACTGCGCAGATCAGCAGTGTGTTTAAAGTGCCATTTAATTAATTTGTGGGAAAGCGCTTCGTAGCACTTTCATAAAAATTTACTGTTTTTGCACTTCTTGCAGATAAAAAGGGCATGAAGCTTCTCATTCTAATCTTGTGTAGATTAATATAACGAACAGCTAGTAAACGACAAGTAAAAGGAAAACTTGGTCATGTGGTGTACAAACTGCCGTTTGCCGGTAACTTGATTTTAAATCTCTAACGACTTTATCAATATTTTTTGGGGCTCTAAAATGCTTCCCTTTCTTTTTAGGTGGAGTTCTTTTCAGTTTGGAAGAAGGAGCAAGCTTCTGGAATCAAAGCCTAACGTGGCGAATGTTCTTTGCTTCGATGGTATCAACGTTTACTCTTAATGTTCTTTTATCAATTTACCATGGTTCTCCAATGGATTTGTCAAATCCTGGACTGATCAATTTTGGCTCCTTTGAGGTCAGTATACTCATACTGCTTCTAATGGGATTGCACTTACAATGCTTAGAGATATATTATAAAAGATGTAGAAAGAACACTACAGCATGTATTGAAAGGTCCATCGTTGCAGGTCTTTGAGGGTTGCACTTGGAACAAAAATGTTCCTAGATTAGAAATGATTATGTTTTTCTAAATTAAAGATACAGTGGTATCCTTAATTTAGAAAAACATAGACTTTCAACATGCTCTTTAAGTTTTTGCCAAGATTTTAGCGTGTATTTTACCTATACAAAATTTACTGTGAGACCGAGATCCGAAGCAGCACTGCATCCAGTTAAAAAAATCAGCTTTTTTATGCAGACTTAAGCGAAACTTGCAGCCATTTGAATGAAAAAGAGCTAAAGGGCAGGTTTTTTGCGCCCAACAAGCTCGAAAATCCCACTAGGAAAGGAGAAAAAGAGAGAGCAAGGGGGAAGAAAGGAAGAGAAGAAAAAAAGGAATGGGTGCACTCTTAGCCCAGTTTATTTTTTCAGTATCGGCAACTTTGGAGGTAGTTTCTGCTGACGTTTTCAAAAATCCGACTTGATGACTATAAAATGTTGAAAACAAATCAAGTTTTTGATTTTGGATAGAGTAACTGTAGCCCCATTTACAAGGGTCCGGACAAATTTTTGAACGGACAAAAACTTGCACAGATCCGCCTTTCGTTCACACGGTACCCGCAGAGCCGTGCACGTTTTTGAAAGGCAAACAGAACTGCAATATGTGACAAAATTTGCACGGTCCGTTTAAACAGGTTGCACAGGTAAAAAACTCGTCCGTTCAAAAATTTGTGCAGACCCGTGCAAACGGGTTCTGTGAGTGACTGGTTCGTTTTCTGTTTGATCCTCAGGGACAGACCTATTTCAGTTATGAATTCCCTTTATTCTGTGTTATGGCAATTCTGGGTGAGTACGATAAGTATGAATGCGGGTCAAATTTTAAGCCCCATTATCCACACATTTAAATTCTCAAGACTGGTCTCCATACATTTTGTTGAAGAATAAGTTGAGAGAATTTGATACGTGATCAAAGCATTTTCCCTGCGGTGATCGTTTTATTAACTCTCCCAACCTCTTCTCTTGATGATGAATTTCTGTTGGTAAGAAAAAATTGATGTTGGTCGCTGTTGGGACTTGAGGGTTAAACCTTTTATTGCTAAAAACCGGTTCAAATATTAAGCATTGCTAAGACGACCCAATTTCATTTTCCAAAATACTGAAAACAAGTTTCTCTTTAAAACTTCTTACCCTGACTGTGGTTTTCAAAGGGTTAACTTGTTTATCCAACATGTTCTATTAAAATATATAATATAAGTTTTGATTGCTGTTGTTGTTGTTTTTTAGGTGGTTTATTTGGGGCTCTTTTCAACGCCATCAATCACCATTTATCCATTTTCAGGATGAAGTAAGCATGTTTAATTTGATGAAACAAGCTACTAAAATGATTACGACCTTTCATTTGGAAAATCTCGGCCACGCCGGTTTTAGCTAATGTAGATTTGCAGATACAAAATTTCCATCTAGAAATTCTCTGTAAGTATCAAACGACCATTCCCTTAAAGGGGCTGTGACGTCACGGCTGTCAAGTTCATCTGGTTAATAATGCCAATTTCCGGGGGGGGCGGTTACTTGAATTAATTTTTGCTGGTCATGTGCCGCTGGCTTTTCAGAACCCCTACCCCATTATAGTCTATTCTGTGGCCAAATATAGACCCCATCTTAGTCACTTTTGGGAAAATGTAATTTTCGCGATCCCAACGTAGTCGCTTTCTGTTCATGCATCTGTCTTATAAATCCTTTTAACTAGGTCATTCTGAAATAAATTGACACATTGGTTAAACTTAATGAAATAAAAATCTTCCCATTTTTAAATCCCTACCTACCTCCATTTTCTGATGCCCCAAATCCCGAAAATGGGCGATCCCATTCTGGTAACTCTAATGAAATTGCAACCCATTATAGTCAATCCAGTCGTGAAAATGCGACCCCATCCAACGTCAAATCCCCATTAGCCTGTTACTTGGAAGTATTCCCCCCCTTGGGGGGCCAATTCGCGTCCTTATTCGCTATATATATATGCAGGGCTCAAAATAACGGCCGGTCAACGGACAATGTCCGGTCTGATCGTGGGCTTGACCGGTCAAACTCTCGTCTGGCCTGTCATTTTGACCGGTCATTTTTGGATGCTTGTCGCTTAATGCGTTTTGCTCTATAACGCTGTAATTCGCTGCTTTCTTTGTCTTTTTTTGCTGCTTTGCACTAAACCCTTTAAAGAAAAACGTTCTGCTTTGCTGTGATCAGTAATGTGACCTTCTTTGGGAAAACATACGCTAACAATAATCCGTTATTTTTTAGAAAACTAAAGGATGAGTGAGAGTTTTTGTCCATCAAACGTTTCACATCTACTTGTAAGAGGATTGTGAAAATCACCTTCGACAGAATTCGGACCAATCGATCGCTCGTCCTGTACTGTTTCTCTGGGAATAAATTTCAGCGCATCAATTAATAATATTATAATAATTTCTTTATGTCGAACATGATCTCGTTTGCAGACTCGATTCCAGAATTGTCTGATAAAAACTAAGCTAATCGAGAACGAACGTCGCCTATCTCGGCGCTTAAAATCCTCCTTCTTGATAAGCCGTTCGCGATTAAGTGTTGCGCGACGACCCAAACGAAAGCTCTGCTGTATATTTATTGACTTCTGATGACGAATACGCTGTTTGTGGAACAAATTTCTTGCCAAATCAACTTCTTTGCCGGAAATATTTAGCGACGAAATTCTTCTTTGTAGAGGAGACTTTCGATCACGTGCCGGGCAACGAAAAGGATCAAGTTTCACCGATATGCAGATATAGGACGAACCTTGGAGACTTCCGACACCGCCGTACGATGATACTGAAGGTATATATAAACGGACATAAAACGGGCGAAAATCGCGGAAAGGAACTCAACAACGTGTGAATGAATTTTTCATCAACTTGCCGGCAAAAACCTGAACGACAATGCCGTAAAGCGATCTACTGCCGGCGTAATTCGATATTCCATGGGCAAAAAAATAATTATAATATTCATTAATTTGACCGGCCAAAATCGGGGTTTGTCCGGGCTAAAAAATATTTGGCCGGTCATCATGACCGGCGACCTGCTGTCCGTTATTTTGAGCCTTGATATGGAACTTGAAAAAATATTAGTGAATGACAAAATCACCGTTTTTTGTCAAACAAATATTATATCTCCCAAGCATTGTATCAACCGTTAGAAACAACAAAAATGAACTTTGAAAAACTGTTGGCTAACAGGTTTTCAAAAACCATAGATTGCAATGTGTTTCAATCTTCTTCAGGTTTGTCCATCCCTGCCTCCTTTTTTATTTACTGTGTTATTTTTACCTTCTTTTAATTTTTGCGCGGTGATTTTTATGTTTCGCTAAATTTGGTGTCAGTTCCCGCTGTTTCAATTTTGATAAATTTCGTGATACAGCAGCTCCGTTAAAGTCCTTTTGCTTTCTCTCATGCAGGTTTGTGACGACAAACTGGGTTCGTGTCATTGAAGCTCTGATAGTTTCGACTTTGAGTGCTACTTCTGCGTTCGTGTTAATCTACTTCTACCATGACTGCAAACCCATAGGAGCCGCAAACATAACCAGACCACTGCAGGTACTGCTATTAATAGCAGAGCTCCACGCGCGTACGAGCAGAGCCCCATAGCTAAGAAAATGTGGTTATTATTCCATTTCCATCCGATGTATTTTGGTAGTCACGTGACCGTACGTACTTTCACCCTTCCTTCCGCACCAGAGGGCAACCAATGTGAAAGCTCACACTTTCTAGCTACTGTCAGAGCCTGAAACCTGATATTGCACATCCATGTTGTAGTCAATTGACAGCTGTCAAAACAGGGTGTCCGCTGACCAGTATCACATAATTATATCGCGGGCTCGGGTGTCGACCCATCGATGGTACATGTTTTTTTGAAATTATCCACTGATAAGTTACTAGTTTTCAAATGATCGCAGGCTCAACTCCAAACAGATTTCTTTGCAATGGTTACAAGTTATTGGTTGAAGTAAATAATTATTATTATAAATTTATCAACGAGAGCTTCGCCTTTAGCCTTGCCTAATCAATATACCTTATTACATGAAATTTTGGCGACACGTTAATTTAGCGATTTTGAAAAACCCTTGTTTAGCACCATTTTAATTTTTCGTAAATTTTGGAATGTAAGTCACTTAATTTTCGCGATTTTACGAACTGAAACTTTAGCGAATGTGATAAAAATAATCATGAACGTCAATAGCTTCATTTAAATCAAAATCATACAACGTCCTGATAATTTTGAACGAAACTGCCACTGTCCTCGCTCATATTTAAGGTACATTGTCACAGAAAACGTGAGCTGTCTCTCCTTCACTCCCCTCTGCTTTCTCTTTTCTTTTTTCTCTCTCTTTTCACTTATGTTTCAAAATGCCTTGAACCATATGACAATAAATTTGGCGTTATAACCTGAGATCAATAGGAATTTCTCTCACACTACTTTTGTGCGATACTACAAGCTAATGCAAGTCATATTTCGCTTTCTTCCTTTGTCTAGTTTTTCTGTGAGGATGGTGAATACAGTGCTATGGGAACATTAGTATTCAGCACACCGGAGGAGTCAATTAAAAACCTCTTCCATTTACCCGAAGGTACGCCGGAATAGCCAACGGGGTCGCTTCGTGCTAGCTGGGATTTTTAACCTTTGATGTTGTATTTGAAACATATTTGTATTTTTTTTTCAAACTCCCAAGGTCAGATTTCAAAGAGTGTCATTATTTAAGCGGGATGTATCGAAGCCATACTTTAAATTTTAATTTTAAGAATATTTTTGCGGGTTCTAGCCTATACTTGTGTTTGTTTCTACTGTTTCATTGCGCTGTTTTTCAAATCTCTTAATTCTTGGATCTTTGATTAGACATTGTAAAGTTAAAACGGCTTTTGCAGGCTGAAAAGACGTTCGGATTTTCCAGCATTAGATTTTCTCTTACCTAGTTTCGTTATGCCTTGAGGTGACTGTATTCTCATATTTTTTAATACTTCCATATTAGGTTCGTACCATGTGACTACACTAGCTGGTTTCGCCCCAGTCTACTTCCTGTTAGCCACTTGGACCTACGGCTTGTTTGTTCCCAGTGGTCTTTTTGTGCCATGTATCTTAACCGGGGCGGCCTGGGGACGGCTGTTTGGGGTAGCCTTGAGGACATGGTTTCCTAAAGGAACCTGGGGAGAACCTGGAAGTTATGCCTTGATTGGAGCGGCTGCAACACTTGGTAAGCTGTAAAGTATTGCACAAACACTTGACAAACGGAACCAAAGTAGACTGTTTGTCTTATGTAACTCTAAAAATATGTTCGCTATTTAACGTCCTCGTGAATGTAGTCCGGAATAGGACTGTTGTTGACAGTGACTGACGTTTTGACAACCTGTGCGGTAGTCACCTTCACAGTCAAACTGAACTATATCGCGTCAGTTGATAGTATGGTTATAGACCTGATTAGCCAGTAAGTCGCGATGTGATTGGTTTTCTGTCAATTAAGCCGAAATGTTATTGGCTATGAAGGCTCTAGATGTGATTTATGCGTTTGTATCCTCGTTTTGCCAAAGTTACAATTGCCGTTTATTTTTAAGTCAAATTGTTGGTTGTCCATTCATTCTATCGTTATCAGTTTTGCCGACTTGAGTCCGTTTGTAAGGGACGGTAAATGCTGACTTCGATTCAGTGGCGTTTGTCTTAAGTTAGTGAGCCAGCTTTAGTTAGTGAGTCGTTGATAGTAGCCTGTAAAATTAGTAATGCATGTCGCAGAGTCCCAGTCGATTTGATGTTTCGCCCGGTCTGTAAATGGTGTTCAGCAATGTGATTGTTGACATCCATAATTTTTTGTCGCTCGTTCTTGTTCAGTCGCTCGTTTGTGTTCCATTTGTGTTAAGCATTCAGCCGTTATTGTTGAGTAAGAAGTTGTTCTCCCGGCTGTTCATGCACGGTAATCTATAATGCCACTCTGCATGCCACTGGGGAAGTCTTCTAACATGCCTCTAAACGTTTCGTCCGAACTTCGTGCGCTGTATTTTCTACGAGTATACTCCACGCTGTGTATTAGATCACAAGGTGGTCGGGACTGAAGCCAGTCGAAATCTCTTTCCAAACCAATGTAAAAAAAAATGCATTGGTAGTGTATAGCCACAGTAGTACCAAATTTTTTCCGTAAGGCATACACAAAACCTTTCTTGCTTGCGCCTTACGGAAAACAGCCTCTCCTCTATTGACTACAGGTCAAGAAGCGTGTTTTGTTGTAAGCTGCCTAACGGTTTTTTGCTCTTTTCTCGCTCTCCTTGCAGGTGGTGTTGTCCGAATGACAATCAGTCTCACTGTTATTTTGATGGAAGCGACTGGAAACATCAGCTTTGGCATTCCTATAATGCTTGTCCTTATGATCGCCAAATGGGTCGGAGATTTCTTTAACGAGGTGAGAATTTGAGCATGTGCATTTACAACAACAACGAAACATTTGTATCTTCAGTTTTCCCCCAATTTAGCAAGCAGGATGTTTTTTTTTTTTCAATTCTTCATTTCTTTTCACACTTCTGCTTCACGGAAGTCTTGGGTGTGCGTTGATAGTGCTTATGAAATCCAATTTGTCGTTTGTCCTTGAAACGGCACACCTGTGACAGTCTTTCGAAGGAAAATGAAGCGTTGGGGGGGGGAGATTCAGTGCGTGAGGGAAAAGGAAAGGAAGTTCCCCGGGTATTCCCCGTCCCTCTTCCACTTCAAACTGCTGTCACCCAGGCTATGAAAAAACCGACTTGTCGTCCCCAAGTGGACAATAGGTTATTCACTGGTATCTTAGCATCCATTTATCTTGACTCCTTATCCTTTGGCCTAGCCTGTTCCGGACGTTCAGATAATAGAGAGCGAACTTAAATGGGGCGCGAAGAAAATGAAAACGAGGGAAGGGAAAGAGAGGAAAGAGAGTCCTACAGGCGTTCCCACGACGCTCTTCCTAGTCCTCCCTCTGCTTTTCCTTGCTTTCTTTACCCCGCGCCACTCCCTACTATCTGAACGCTTGAAACAGGCTACCTTAGGCCTTTCTTTGTATCCCATTTCTCTTTTTCCCTTCGGCGAGATCCGTTCCAGTTGTTACGAGGGCTTTTTCCCTTCTTTTCGTTTCGACCACCTCTAAACAAGGTTTCAAATGTGAATTATTTACTTACTCTCCTCAGGGTTTATATGATATCCATGTCAAGCTACAAGGTGTTCCGTTACTCGGCTGGGAGGCTCCTGTAATGGCTGTTGGAATGAATGCTAGGTAATCCTACAGCACTAATTTGTTACTGGCCCCTTGCTCGCACACCGGATTTCGAATGAAATCCATCATTCACTTTCCAAACGTCCTGGCGACTTTTATGAGGGATACTTTGAACTTTAGGTCATAAAATCGGAGCCAAGATCTGGAACACGCTTCCGCTGGCCCTGAGGAGCGAGCATGATTTAAATAAGTTTGTTTTGGTGTGGCCTAAAAAGGCACTTTAGATCCAAGCCAAATTGAGCCTCCAGTACTTTCTCTTTACTTAGTTGTTCCATTTTTTTTTTATCTGTTATTGTTTTTTGTGTTGTTTTTTCTCTTCATCAGGGCTCCATTCAAACCAGCCTCGCTGAACTGGGCACCCCTGACTAAATATTGTTCAAAATAAAAAAAAAATCAGGAAAAAAAGCAAATTAACCCCACATAAATACAGCTTAACGTTTTTCGACGACATGGGAAGGACATTTTTAGCTTAAAAAATTAAACGAAAACACAGTTGTAGATTGGTGTTCTGCACATGAAATACCTTATCAAGACTCTGTTTGGAAAAGCACACTCTGTCAGTTGATATCGAGGCGAAAACATCACGGCAGAAGCATGATAATTCTCATTTAGTAGATAACGAGTCGTTTGAATCAAAGGTAAACCCAATCAAGCACATGCCAAAAGTTTCCAGTCACTGAATGTAATCCTTTGTTGCCAAAATAAAATTTAAGGAGAAGTGATAAGTTTCTCTGGGCCTAATACTAAAACACTAAAAAGCGAGGTTTTGTTAGAATGGTCACGGAATAGGATTTCCACAGACAAAAGCGTTAGACCTTCATTACCAGTAACCGCGGTCCATTGTTTGTGGGAAGTACTTCTGAAGTACCCTTTTGATTTTGGTATTTTCTCTTTCTTGTCTTTCAGTAAGTTCTCGTTTTGACTTATGTTTATTCGCAATTTTTGTTTGTTCATTTTTTCAGTGATATTATGAGTAGACAAGTTGTTTGTTTTAACACAGTGGAGAAGGTAAGTACCTTGTGTGTGTTTATTGTCTCATTCATCGATATTTGTTTCATTGCTTTATTTTCACGTCTAGTGCTGTGGTGCAGAATCGGATGTGGGGAGTATCAACCCCTGGGGATCCCCTGAGGGGCACTTAGGGGAAATTTGGGTAGAGGTGTACCGCCGAGGCGAAAAATGTCGTTTTTTTCCCTACCCTGTTCAAGACAAGAGACCAACAAGAGACCTCATTCAGTGACCCTGATTCATGTTGCTTCGCATACAGAATCAAGTAACTTTTAAAAAAGGCAGCATTAAATTAGTTTTTTTAAGGGGGGGATGGTGGGGAAGTGTAGGTACCACACATGTAGACGGTTCGTCACCGTCTTTACACTCTTTGTTGCAACAATGTTAACGCTGGGGTGCACTGAAAATAGTCGTTACGATACTCGTCCTGTGTGACATCGCTTTGCGAAACTATTCACCCTACAATTAGTGGAATTGAGTCTTGAGTCGTGAGTTTGCTTACAAAAATCAGTATCAGCGATCGCTGATGTGTGCAATTTTGAATGTGTGTGCAGACAGACGGACTATCTTTGCGACTTTTGAGTGACTTTGATTACTTGTAATTACTGTATTTACTGTCAGGTTGGTCGAATAGTTGACGTGTTAAAGGATAAACGCTCACACCACAACGGTTTTCCTGTTGTCGATTGCCTTGACTCGAGTGACAAGGAGGTAAACTTTTTGTCCTGTGTTTGTGATGTTATGAAATTGGCAGAAGTGGTATGGTTTACGTGAAACTAACGTTGTCATTTTTAGCGATTCTTGACGCAAAAGCCCCCACCCCCCAAAACAGCTCCGCCCGAAATAAACATGAATGTTGCTTTTTAAAGGTGTAATGAAAAAGCTACAAAACAGCGGTCCCCAGCGTAGCGTTTTCGATGTCAATTACGGTAACAATAATTTCCTCGTTGAATTTTTAATCACGCCGAGGATTACTTAACTTTGCTGTTTTCAGTTTGTAAAACTTCCGTGCCATCATACAATAAACTGGGGAAAAAAAAAACTGGGGGTGGCTAGCCCTTCGGATTTCACCAAGCCGTTCCTTATCAGGAGGCCCGCTAGGTATCTCCCATTCGTTCCGGCTTTAGTATGTGGGATCAGAAATCCCAGCTAGTGTATGTGAAAGTCCGTATTTAAATGACTACGGAAGGCACATCTTATCCATGTGGGAGCCATTTAGTGTTTTTTCCTTTTTATTCTTCATCGCGAAGTCTATTGAAGCGTGAAATTCACGGCGTATCGATAAATCAATAACTCTTAACTGCAATTCGACTATTGTCAGCGGCATAAGTCAATTACTTACTTTTGAATTACGGTTTCTGCCATTACGCATGCGCATTGTGTCAAAAAGTTTCGGCAAACTCGACCATTTAATCCAAGCTTTGCATACAGGAGCAAATATATTAAAAACGTTGTAGAAAGCCAAAGACAAATTGAAACATTTTTGATTGTGCAATTTTTTTTTTTTTTGAGGTTAAAATAAAATGCCAAATTGGGTCTTTAAAAAAAGAAGACAGCAAAACACTAATTTTAACATCAAGTTAAGTCAGGAGCCCATGTCCTGGTTAAGTTAACTGTTGTTCTGAATTCAGTTCCTCGCAAACACTGAACGTCAGTAATGCAAAATGCAGTCGGAGACCTCTCTAATAACATAAATTCAAGCCGTGGCCATGTCTTGCAGGGAGTGGATAAAAAGATATTTACATGTACATTAACCGTCTTTAATTACGTGGCTTGCAGCGTACCCATTAAACAGACGGTCTTTCTTTGTAACATTTTAGGATAGTGGAAGTGCTAGCAGTAAAGCAACATTTGGGACATATCGTGGCTTAATCTTAAGATCACAGCTTATTATTCTTCTTAAATCAAAGGTGAGGTTTAAAATTTGTTCTTGTTACCGTCGTTATGGTTCTTTCGTCTTAAAAATTCCTGACCACAATTAAAGATTGCCGTAGGCACAGAACACAGCCCTTTCTCAGCGGCGCGTCGAGGTTTATATCAAGTACAGGGTATCGCTCTATCACATATTTGTATGCATTTTTTATTGCTTTCATTCTAGAAGAGAGCGGTACGTTCGAAATTTTTGCTCCGTTATTCCGCAGGTTACGTGAACGCACCCGGAACTTATTAGAATGCTTGACTGCGCAAATTACATTACCTTTCTAGTCATTCTAAGCAATGACCGCGATTTTCCAACTTCTGACAACCACTTCGTCTAAAGTTTTCTTATGTTGTCTTGGCTTCTGTTTTTTCTACAGACGTTCGCGGAAGGCAACCCACCGAGGTGTAAAAATAAATTAACCCTGAGAGACTTTAGGGATGCTTACCCACGATTTCCGCCTATTCGGGTACGTATAGCCCACGTCCTAACCCCAATTCCAGCGCTCTGACTGCTCGACCACGCTACCTACCTCACTTAGCAATAGAGTTTAGTGAATGTGTTTTTGCTTTTACTCTAGAACGTTAGTATATCTCAGAAGGAAAGAGAATGTTATATGGACCTGAGGCCTTATTTAAACCCATGTCCTTACACATTATATGCGGTAAGTTATGATTTATTTTTCCTTAGGCGACCAAATTAAAAAAAGTGTTCGAAATTCCACACTGAAATTATTTTAGCACGGTAGGATCTTCGGCATGCCTAGTTATACCATTTGTTTTTTGTCCTGAGACTCTTCCATAAGTTAACGTCGCAAACAAAACTAAAAGAAACTACGTGTTCTTTATTTGGCTTGTCATTTTTCTTGGGGACAGGTTCTGCGAACACCTCAGATCTGTCTCAAAGAAAGCTGACCTACCCGTTGCTAAACATTTTTCCTCCCCCGGTCACACAACAGATGATATGATGGTAGCTGTTGTTCGAGCGGGTCTTCACAACACCAGGGACAGACGTAGAGCGGAGGGCCACCTAATTTTTAAATGCAAAACTCTACAGCCGCGCGGCATAAACATTGACTTCAATTTTATTTGAGCGAACTCTTCCAGCGCGCGCTTCAAATGTTGCCACATTTGAATAAAATGACGCGCGTTCAGTGTAACGGCATCTTCCACTGATGAAGGGACAGTAGTCCCGAAACGTCTGGATTTTCAAACATTTTAGCGCTAAGAACACAAAGACAAATTTTAATTGTCATTTCTCTAGCCTGGGACCAGATTAACTCTTCATCTGTCATTGCGACAAATCTACATTATGGACAATTCTTATTGTTACAAAGCTACCATAGTTCCAGCCTGCTAGAAGAACCTTTCTTTCACTTGCTCGATTTTGTCGTACTTGAGAAAGACTGTGCATGAATCGAGCAAGATTTTTGTTGAGCATTTGCGGCATTTTCAGCCTAGGATATAGTTGCGAACCCAGGCCTAATAGCCTTGCGCTTGCTACAGCGGGCTCGGTTAGGGCCATCGGTTTATCAATCAATGGATGCTCGCACTCGAAAAAACCAGTTTTACGAGAGAGGGCAAGGTTGACTAATCCAGAAGTTTGAGCTTCGGTGAACTCGAAGGTTTGCTTGGCGTGATTCAAGAAAAGCATCCTTTCCTCCTCCTCAATCAAGAAGGCAAAGGAGGCTGTACTCCCACTTTGCCAAAGTTCGTGCACTTACCGCCTCCAGAATATTTTTAGAACGGGAACCTCTCTATAACGAACATTTTGCTTTGTCCTAAAGAGTTTCATTCAATCCCTGCCTTCACAATACGCACACCTCCACGAAACGAGGCACAACCTCTCAGATACGGAAAATTTGTTAGATGATACTAAAAGTCATACAGTCCCTACCGTTTTGATAAAGACAGGAAAGGTGGGTTCGTGATAAAGAAAATTCATAGGTGCCTTGGGTAGGCCTTTCACAGTAATTTTTAGGTATTTATTATAACTCCAAAAATGGAGTAAAGATTTTAGGTACAGGATAACCCCTTTTATGGGGTTACTTTAACTCCTATTTTAACTCCAAATTTGGGGTCACTTTTACTCCTGAAGAAGGGGTTAATTTTACTCCTTACATGGTTTGTTTTATAACTCTTTTTGGAGTTACTTTAACTCTGAAAGTGGAGTAAAAATTTTAGGTACAGGATAACTCCTTTTTGGGGGTTATTTTAACTCCTCAATATCTGGGTGATTTTTGCTCCCCAAAAAGAGCTCTTTAAAACCTTTTTTGAAGTTAAAATAACTCCCCCAAAAAATAACTCCATTGGTAAGGAGTTAAATTAACCCCACTAGAGGAGTTAATATAACTCCTTGAAAATTTGTTTGATTGTTTGTTTCTTCAGAATGCTTCTCTGTCACGAGCGTTTAGATTATTCAGGGCCTTGGGACTAAGGCACATAGTGGTGATAGATGAAAACAACAAGGTGGGTGGTCTGCCTTTGGGAACTAAACTGTGGTTCCGTTTAGTTTGTTTTCTGGTCGTAAGAAGGTTTCTATTTTATGGTGCTTCAAACTGGTACAATAGAACCCGGTTAATACGGACAACTCCAAGGGGGCAGTTTCCCTATTATCCGGTTCTCCGTATTCATGTAGTAGACAAAGAGGAAAAAGGTTCGATTCCTAGGTGGAAACAATGATTGTAGGAAAAAGCCAAGGAAAACTTGTTAGCAGGAGACAGAACACTTTATTAAAAGGCTTCAATACAAGGGTCAAACTGGAGAAGAAAGACGGACTTATCAAAATCAAACATGTCGTGCTATTTTGCTGCTGTTTTTTTTTTTACAGTAAAAAAATCGTATTAAACCATAGAAATCTGTCATTATTTGAACAGTGGTCAATCTCTACAATTAGCATATGATTGTGACTAGGAAAATAGAAAGTGCGTGGGAAACCAGTGTCCGTCGGTAAAGCGGGGTTGACGATATATAAGAGTTTGTGACCTGGGACACAGGAAATTGTCCGTGGTTCGTATTAACCGGTGTCCGTATTAAGTGGGTGTCCGTAGAGCGGGATTCCACTGTATGATGATCTGATGCGCTTGTGTCCTGTGATAGGTTGTTGGAATAGTAACAAGGAAAGATATCGCTCGTTATCGAATGTGGAGTCATCGCGGTCAGATTGGCTTAGAGGAAGTACACGTCTTGGAAACAAACACCGTACAACATTTTTAAACATTTTAAATCACGCTGTGGTCAGTCGAAAATGTAACCAGATGATTAAACCCCTCCGACACAGGACCTGGGAACAGTATGAGGTTAGAGTAGACTGACTGCGGTCTATTGCTGTGAGATCAACTGCGAATACAGCGAAATGAAATCAAAGAAACAGAGTTTAACAATATGATGGAGGAGTTTACCATGCACTTCTAGGGAACTGAACAATTTAAAAATCTGATCGAGGTGCTATGAATCGTCGTTTTTGACCTTATTTTAAACGGCCATTGAAGCATTTAAGGTCAAAAATGTGTTCTTCTAGGTGTTCTGGTAAGGAGTTCTATTCCGGTCTGGAGAATCGCATCTCTCTTAAAAGGACGTGGTGGCGTGGTGGCCGGGCGGTTTGTACGAGCAGGTTCAGGCCTTTTCGTCAAGTAGTTTGTACCTGTTAGATAAGAAACGTTGCCCCACCTCTACCCAAGGCTGTAAATGGATACCCATCCGGAGTAGGGGGGGGAGGGATAGCCATACTCCTAGGTGCTTCATGCAACACAAACCAGGTTAAGCTCTTCCCGTTTGGGTCTTCTTTGCTCTTGTCAACTTAAAAGAAGTGATCAGTGCAAATACATAAGGCAGGTTTCATTACAGACAAAAATATTCGAAGCATCTTTCATAGACTGTTTACAGTCCCCTATCCTTCCGTAAGATCGTCAGAATCGAGCGCCTATCTTGACGATCTTGCGGAAAAATAGTCATGAGGAGAATTCCACTACTTATCAGGACTATCCAGCCCGATCAGTTTACAGTATTTCTAAATGGTGTGAACGGCACTGATGGGTTTTAGTAAAAATTTCATTTCAATATGACTGGGCCGGTCGGCTAGTTCTGACGTTTGGAAAGCGCCGTAATTTTATGGGTTAATTTTGCTCTTTATAGACTCTGTCAGAAGATAACACTGTGTAGTTCGCGTTGATAAAAAAGTGTTCCGTTTTTATTCCTGTGTTTCTGCTTATTTTACTTGCATAGGGACGGAGGACCAAATAGTATGTAGAAAACAGGTTTGATCGCTTATTGTACAAAGCAATGTGTCTAAAGAGACAAAGTAATGTCAAATGCAACGTTAACAGATGTTAATGATATTTATATTTTTTAAAAAAAGAATTAGCAAATGTTCATGAGTTTAAATAAAGTGCAGACACAAATCTTATTTCTCGCTATTTTAATTGTAGATTTTTAACTAGGAGACCATACAGTAGTAACACTCATACGTGAGACTGGAAACTTGTCTGCAGCGAGAAAACCAGGGACTATCGACTATTCCGACGGACATGTAACCAGTGTCCAATTCATTCCTTCTTCTTCAGACTTAAAAACCTTTTAAGGCCTGTTTACATGGATGTGGGGTACCCCAGGTAGGTGAGGTAACCCGCTTAGGTGGGGTAAAAAAATAACCCTTCTTTACATGCAATCTTACAACCCCACCATCCTGGAGTGCACTTTGTCAAGATTATTGAATGGTCGCTAAGCACGTAAATAAGAAAAATGATGACAAACCACGTGTTTTGGCGATTAATGCTCTTCTACACTCACTTGCTGCCCTTGCTGCAACCTTCAGTACTGTGGCTTTCTTACGGTTACCTTTAATGATACAAAGCCACCGCCAAAGTGAATTTTGCGCGAATTTGAAATATCACGAATCGGACCCCGGCTAGGCGGGTTACCCCACCTTGAAACGTTTACATGGCAAAATTTGACCCCGGTTGAGAAGGTTACCCGGTCTGGCAGACCGGGTTACCCGGCTTAGCGGGTCACCCCACCGATCATGTAAACGTGATCAAATTATAATGAGAGATTATATGGACAGGCGGGTTACCTCACCTACGTGGGGTCCCTCACCTTCATGTAAACAGGCCCTTAAATTCAGATCACACGTCAAAATCAGAATACGTCCAAGAGTATCTCTTTCTCTCTTGGAAACATACTTCCGGAACAGAATAATACGGCCTCAGTGATACTCCCATAGTCTCCTTCATCACTCTCAGCCCATCCCCCGGGCTCGACTACCAGCTTCTGTTTGAGAAGTAAGCCCATGCCCCTTCTTGGGTGGATGGTCATTTCTTCCCCCTTTTCCCTTTCCCCCGCCTCCCCCTCCCTCACTTTTCCTTTCTTGGGGTCAATTTAATAAAAATTTTACAAGTGTAATTTCTAAGTGTAACTATTGTTTTCGGACTTTAGACAGACAGACACTTGTAAAAGTTTTGTTACTGTAAAGAGGACGACAAAGCAAAGTCTGCTGTTCGAAAGAACACATGGTGTCAGAGTGTGTGAGTAAACTTTTATTGGTCCGACAACCAACAAAACTAATTAATTGTATTTATTATAATGTTAACAAAAATATGGATAATTTAAATCTTGTAGTGGGGTTGCCCTTATATTATATTTCGTGAGTTTGGGCATTTTCAAGTGAAAATACCCTTTTCATCTTTAACAAATATATAAATACTATAGCAATATTGTGTTCTATAACAGATATTTCAAGAATTACTTACACTTGTTTTTTGTCATTAAACGTCATTGTACTACGGTAAGGGGTATCAGCCTGAGGCAAGGGGTGATGTGATATATCGTTACTTAACAAAACCACAAGCCAAAGACCGATAAACTGTTCATTTTTGCATCAGCGAGGATTCCTGTGGGGATTGAAAAGTGCACTGAAGAATAGTTTGTGTACTTTTCACTTTTTTTGTTTTTCAAACTTCTGTGGTGGCATTAATAATTAAGGCTCCAATAATATGCATTATTTTCGCAACAGACCACACTTTCTGTGGGTTTCGGCTCGTGATTTACAAGCTTTTCGAGTGTTCTCCCAACATTCCAAGTGGTTAATTACGCCGGTAAACCCATAGAAGTGTGGTCTATTGCTTTTATAAAATAACTTTTAGTTTTCTATGAGTTTACCGGCACAGTAAACCATAGGTTTTTAACCAATCAGAACGCGCGTACTATCTTAGTTATCATAACTAACATCAATATGCACTTGGAACATAACTTGTTACTTTTCATTACTACAAAATCCTCTCGCCTTTAAATCAGGTGTTCATTGGCACCGCCCTTTCCTTTAAACGATCAAAGCCTCACCCACATTTTCTGACAGTTGAATTGGGTGTTACATGAATTCACCCCTAAAAGAACAGAGGCATCCGAGCTTATGTATAAGGAACGCTATTCCAGTCATTTGGTTCTCTTAATGCTTATCCTTTACCTTCCAAATAAAAAATATATTAAAAAGAAGGAGTAATAAAAAAAACACCACTCTTGCTCAACTTAGTTTTACAATAACGTAACGGTGGAAAGCCTAATGGTGAAGTCATCATATCGGGTCGAATCGGCCCAGCCTTATTAAAGTCAGGAAGGTTTTTCAGAGATCTATTCCATTAGCTTCTTTTCTGCTGGGTTGCCAGACTGAGATGTTTGAAGTTTGGAGTAGATTTGCGCAAAGAGTTTCTTGTATTCCCTGACCGACGCACTGTCTTGTAGAGGGCCGCTCGCTCCAATTTCAGTCGTAGGTTTCTCATCCAATGGCGAAGTTTGAATCGCGCGCTGTACTGTTGGAATCTGAGATATTTCATGGACAATGCCTTCGTTTTTACACCTTTCAACAAGAGAGTCGTACTTTCGAACTAACTCATGGTATTGGCTTCCGAGTTCTGACAAAAACGAAGTACTGTTCTCCTGAAGGGGAGATTTTACCTCCTGCGAAATGTTCAAAATCTCAACCTCGCTTTGATCTGACATGGCGCTTAACTGCCGATCACGTTCGCTGTCCAGGAGTACAAACGACTCGTCGTCGGTGCTTTCCGAAAGTGGCCGACGATGACCCGAGTGAGAACATGCTAAAACGCTGAGACTCGAGTCTTCAGACGCGCTTTCCTGCCACTGCCTCGCTTGTTCCGCGAAGTCAAAAAGTTCTTTATCGAGCTGTTGATTTTCTTGGATCAAGTCCGACAGCTCCAGCTCAAGTTCTTCACGACGGCGTTTCTCCGTCGAATGCTGCCTTTTAAGTTGCATAATCCTGTCGTTGAGAATTTCGATGTCTTTCTTAAAGCTTAAAACCTTCTCATCTTTTTCCGTCTCGTCAGATTCATCCCCGCCTCTCGCGAGCTCGTAGCTGCCGTTTTCTTTGCATGTGAGTTGAAGTGATAAAGAGTTCGCCATTTCTCTTTGCAATCGCATACGTTCTATTTGAAGTTCCTCGACCTGTGTCCTGTAATCGTCACATTTGCTTTCCAAATTTTCCACAGTTTGTACAACAGTTTGGTAACGTTTCCGCATTACTGCTGTTTCGCTCTGCAGTTCTTTGTTAGTTTTCTGTAGTTCCAAGGCAGTAGATTCCATTTGTTCACAAGCCCGTACTTGACTTTCATGTAACTCTCGTATTGTTTCCAGTTGCTTTGAAAGAAACTGGGGATTTAACAAAAATTCGTCAAGTAGGTTTGGCTATTTTATAATAATATTATTGTAGTTTTATAACTTTCTTCCTAGCCCCTATAGATCGTTTCCACTAACGTGGTCAGCAGCTATGCCTATGCAAATGTCTTGAAAAAAGAGAAAGTTTTTACATGAGAAGAGAGTTCAATCCCCACCAGTCTTTTTTAGTACACCAACATGGCCGGCGTTTCATTGTTTTGTACTATGGTAACCGTGACGTCACGCTGGCTTGTTCCGTAACCATGTGTTTCTCACCCCTGTTAAAATTTCTTTACTCTGATGGTAACACACGCTAATTACGTTCATCACGGAAGCCACTGGATCTGAAGAACTCCCGGGTCTAAAAATGCGACCACCGTATTTTGAAAAACGAGAAGATTAAGGGAACGAGGTTGAAGCTCGTGCTGAGCTGCGGCTGCCAATTCGCTCCCTAAAAACAGGAACCAACAGACTTCGAGTTGTTAGACAAATAACAAATCAAATTTTTCTGTCTCACGTGAGTCTCTCCCGGCGACCGCCCACTGAACAAGAAGCTGAAGAGCCAGGGTACTAAATTGCGCCTTTTTAGCCTGCGAACACTGAGCTCCCCACTTGGCGGATACCGTGAAAAGTCGCGCAAGAGGGACACGCACGCAAGCCACACCTTTTTCTTTCTAGCGCCGGGCATAGACAGTTGAAAATTGTTTCTTATACACACCTCATTTTTGATATGCTGTTCCTCCAAGTAATGGTGCGATGATTTCAGCATTATTTCCAGTTCTTTGTTTCTTTCTAAGAGATTTTTTCCTATCTCAGCCGCTAATTCGAGATCTAGAAATAGATAAGGTAAAGACAGTTTAATGGCTTCCATTAATTATATTGGTTAGGTTAAATAAGGCGTCTCGTTAAATATTTCTTTGAAATGTCTTTTTAATCAAGCTTCGATCCGAAGCACGTCGTCACCTTCACGTGACGTGGTGCCAATAATTAACATAGCAAAGAAAGTTGACTTAACCTATGTTCTACTGACAATGTTCTGCGCCCACTTGCGTTGATCACTGCATATGATACTCTGTAACATATACTTCAAACATACATGTGATAGAAAATTGGGAAAGGTCACCATAAAGTGTGGCTCTTGACATGTAAAACGTTTCAAAGAACAACAAAAAGTGTCCATGACCAGTAGTAAAAGTCATTGCGAGTTACCCTAATGATTATGATCACGGTTGTTTAGATTCCTGGGGCCCGTTTCTCGAAAGTCCCGATAATTAACGGGCCCGGTAAGCTGTCTCGGTTTCCATTAAAGATAGAGGTTTCAATAGTTTTGCATCTAACATGATAAAACTATCAGTTAAAGAAACAAAATGGAGTAGTTTGCTTGCCAGGAGCCGCGCTCTAATTCTTTTTATTTCGATTTGAATATTTGATTTCGGGCCCGAAAAGTTACCGGGACTTTCGAGAAACGGGCCCCTGAGCAAATACTTTTGTAACTTTCTTAGGCTCTCTATATCTTAGTGTTAAACGAGGACCTCACATACATATCTAAACGGTTGACAACATTTGAGTTTCGAAGCAAAAAAACAAACGCACGAAGATCAAATCTCATTTACCGGCAGGTCACTAAATGTCTTTCGCGCTATGTACTTTTAGTGTGCTTTGCAACCTTGTTGCATCAGAGATTTCTGCAAAAAAAAAAAACCCTCAGAGAAAGAGGTAAAGCGATCTCACCTCTCTTATGCCATCTATTATCGCACGAAGAATCCGATTTGTGGAAGACCCAGTTAGATTCCATGACTAGAACCGTGACTTTGGAGATTTATATAATTAGTTGCAATGAACCGAGAAAATATTTTCAGACCATTTGGATCGTTTACTCGCTCTGACCAATAAGATTTCGCCTCTTATGCGATACTGAATAAAGGACTAAATGTGTTTGCGTATAAACAAAGATATTGAAACAAGGTTTATGATCTTATGACCTTTAATTATGAACCTGACTTGTTAATCTGTCAAAATTAGCCTGCATAACAGGAGTAATTTTTTTGCGTTTTCTGACGAGCGAAAGGAAGCGCGCGAAGCGTGCAAGGAGTGCCTTCCGCCGTCGCGCGTGTCTGGCTGGCACTCCTCGCTCGCTTCGCGCTTGCCTTAGCCTCCCACGCAGGCGTTTTTAGGGGAGCTCGTTTTTCATCCCTCCCCACAAGCGCCTGCTCAACCGAAAACAACATTCCTTTCCCATGCTTAGCCAATCACATTGTACTTTCCAAATTCTGGAAAGTTGACCTTCCCCGCAAGGTAATCTGATAATTACTCGATCTGCATGAAACACTGGAAAAACTTTCTAACCTCCAAAAAATGTTAGATTCAGAGCGGCGAAAACAAGATTTAACCAAATTTTAGAATACTCCGTGTACTTCATAACCTTAACGAAGGAAAGAAAAGAAGGAAAACGGTAACTTTAGGGTCACGTTTTAGTCGCGTTTAGCCTGTCAACACTTTATTGCACAACTGTTTATTGGTCTCTTACCACGCAAATAAAACAATGGGAAAGGAATGTTGTTTCCGGCTGAGCAGGCGTTTGTGGGGAGGGATGAAAAACGAGCTCCCCTAAAAACGCCTGCGTAGGAGGCTACGCTTGCCTTTGCTCGCCTGAGAAACGCGAAAAAATAACGCCTGTTACGCAGGCTAGCCAGAATAAGTGACTCAGACTAAGACGAGAAAAATGCTTGCAAGACGTAATAAAAACGCATCGCGCGGAAACTCGATAAAATTTTACACAGGATAGTTGCAGGTGTTGTGTATATATCAACCAACGTGAATTCTGCCTTACGCTTGACAAGCAGCACTTCCGGCCGGCCCGGAACGTCAGACATTCAGGAGCCCATCAAATGGAGCCTCCATCTCCCATACAAGCCCTTGGAGTCAACCCTTTCCCGAGTAGATTTATAATTAGAACGGTTCGCAAGGGAGACTTCGCGCGCCGCCGGTGGGAAGAGCCAATCACAACGACTAAATGACACTGTTATTTTACTTTATGAAACAGCAGGAAATCCGGTGCTGACAGGCCAAACAAAATCATAAGCTAGTGAAACGTGACTTTAGCTTTTTCATCCCTCAGAGATTTTCTTTCTTTTCTTTCTAGCGGTTAGATTATACTGTGGAGAGTTTTAAACTCTGACTATGTTAATCTTAATTTTGGTTGCTTGTCTCACATTTATAAGAGGCCATGAAGCTGGTCTGTTACATGCGTAATGATTAACTACTACCTGCAGTCTGTAGTTCTGACAGGATTCGTTTTAGCCAATTTTTTTTAGCGGTAAGGTTCTTATTTCGGCTAAATAACTCAATATTAATCAAATTTCTAGTTTTTCAAGTTTTTCTCCGAAATGCGTTTGTCTGAATAAGTACTGTGGTTGTTTTGTCCGTCAGTAAGTGTGATGATTCCCTGCTATGTTTTGTAACGCCGAGCCCAGCCATTGTTTTCTCGCAAAAAAGTGATCTACAGATGCGAATTCGAAGGAAAGAATTGGCCTAAACTTCTACATTAATTGCTGAGAATTCTCCTGTTAGTCAGTCATAATTCTTTGGGCGCAGATACAATCCATTTTGTTTTTCTTGAGATAAGAGGGTCTTTGGACTGAAGCGCGATGTCACAAATTCCTCGGCTTTAGCAAGTTACTTTTGAGTTAGCTTCACGGTCGAGCAACTGTTGTCTTCTGTTCAACTTTTCAAGTGCCAGTTTTATCAGGCAACTCTCATGGTGATACAAGTCAGACATACGAGACTCACGGAAATATGACACTTTTCACGGGAAACAAGCCGTTCTATTTATAAATCTACTCGGGAAAGGGTTGACTCAAGAAATTAATGGAGATGGAGGCTCCATTTGATGGGCTCCTGAGACATTCTAATAAAACACCTTGATTGGCACTGGCAGCTGTCGTTTTTAATTGTGGTGACTCACTATGGCCCTGGAGAAATAGCTTTGTTGCCACTGTGTTTAGGGCAAGCTTCCTGACTAGCATAATGTAGGGACTTGTAAATTTTAAATTCTTTGTTACAGGTATTGCACCAGAAGTAGGAAGTGACGTAATTGTCTACACTAGCGGAAGTCAGGTGGAGCGGAAATAGAATTTTTGGGTGTTACTCAGAGGAACGAACTGTTGATCCGTGGAAAACAAAATGATTAACAGTGTGGTTTTAATAGATTTTATGGTCTTCTATTGAAGGTCCACCTTCAGGGCTCAGTAGCGCTTTTGTTTAATAAAAATATTGATCTAACTAGACATTTTAAAAGTTCTTTTCACCAATGTCAATATCAAAACATTTAACAATTTCCTTGATTCAATTGCTAGAGCAGAGTGAAAGACTCCATTCATTCAGAAAACGCCCTTCTATTTTCTTTCATGAAAAAAAACGTAAACACGAGGGAAAGCGGCCAAATACACTGAGAAATGGCAGATTTTCTCAAGATAATTCTTTCCAAATGTCATACAGAACGGAGAAAATAAACTTTTATAAGAACACAACGACGACTGGATGGAATTCTCGGCACAAAATTAATTCAAAACATTCGCGCACCAAAATATTTCAGTTTCTTCTCGGTCTCTTGGACATTCTTTCCGAATAATCAGATAAAATAAGCCAGGATACAGGGCGATGTGATAGATAAAGAAACTAAATGGCGAAAGAAAGCTAATATTTTCTCACTCACCGGAACAGCCATGAGAACTGCGATCTTTCTGTTCCATGGTTTCGCCAAAATAATCCAAATTGTAAAGTGGCGAAGATGTCTCCATCGAAAGAAATTGTGTGATCCCGATCAGCTTACCATAATCGTCGAAATCCCTAAAAACTCGAAAAGTTTAACCCGTGTCGCCAACAGAGCCCAAAACACAACAGATCGCCGGGTGAATTATGTAAATATCAGTCTATCGTAAGAACGAGGTTGGTAATGCCACGTAAGACCGGTTTTCGTGTCGTCATTTGCATATCACTGCCGTGACCTGCGAGAAAGCCTTCCGTCATAAAACCATCTTTGTTACTCAGCCAATCAAACAGAACGAGCAATAAACTGTTTTATCTGCTGTCGGGAAATAAATGATGATTTTGTAAATACTGAAAAGGTTTAAATTTCGGCAGGTGTTGAGACTGATTTTACTGACGAAAATATATCATTTCCGGCAAGTACTACATGCACTAAAAGCGTGTAAATTAGTGTGGTCAAGTTAGAGTGGGAGAAACTGAATGGTGTTAAAATATAAGATGGGGATCAGATATTGTGGTTTCAATATCAAAAAAGGGAGAGGTCAAAGCAATTATCCCTTTCTCATGCGTATGCTGATCACTGGAGAAAGAGAAATCCCTCCTTTTCTGAGGAGCGGATCAAGAGACTTCGAACCACTGGCAGTTCCAGTTTTAGGCCTTGTGTTAAATTCTAGACCTCAATTTGTAATGTTTGTTTTTGTTTGTTGTTGTTTTTCCGCAGTACACTACCAAAACCAGTCCATCATTTTCCGTGGGGATAGTAGGGAGGGGGAAATACACGAACGCTCGTGAAAAATGGCACCCGCGAGGGGATTACGAGCGGTTTTCACCATAGTGCGCGCGAATTAAGAAATATAAATTGTTCCTCAAAAAAAAGGAAAGAAAAAACGTATGTGGACAGGCTAACACCAGGAGGGGAAAACAAACTAAGAATTACTGTGGATCAATCAATAGGGTCTCATTGACAGTTTTAATCACTGTTTAAAAAACCAAGGAACTCGTCATTACGTTTCTTGTTGGGTTTAAAGTAGACTTCCAGCGGTCTCTCTTTTTTCTTAGTCCGTCGAGCGAAACGCACGAGACACGAAAAAGCTCGAAAATGACCGCGGGCGTAAGGCGCGAGACGGGAGAGGCACGAAAAAAGAGAGATCGCAGTCTCTCTTTTCTCTTCTTGGGCTGCCACCCTCGTTTCTCGCGTCTCGTCGCGTGTGAAATTCCCTTACTAAATCTGAAGAAAAAGAGAAACCGCTGGCAGTCTAAATTTAAAGTGTTTCCTATTATGTAATAGAAACATCCTCCGTGATGGTTGGCTAAACTGAAAACGCAAAAAAACTATTTTTGTTAACTACAGGAGGATGAGTACTGATTTCACTACTGCTATGTAAACCAGTTACAAACGCTTAATATAATAAAATGGTTTGCAGTACAATGTCACTCCTCTTCTGCGAGCAGACTCATTTGTGCGAGTTCGGGGAAAATTTTGGCGGTGGTGCCGCCATGGCAAAGTCACTTTTCATCACTTTTCCTCGGGCGATGGCAGCTCCGCCACCAAAATTTAGCTCCTCGCAGGCTACTCTTCTGGAAGACAAACAAGCCAGGAGCCCAAGGCTTAACCCACGACTTTAAACCCACGGCCTGGCCAGCACCTCACGCATGCGCACATTTATATCACCTGGGCATGGGTTGGGTAACCATGGACAGCTGTTTCGGCATGGCATAGCCGTCAGGCCTCTGAACGGACTAAGCCGTGCAGCACACTTCCTCTGACCCTTGAACGACAAATATAATGTCAGTTTCGAGCCATTTGTTGTTCGCAAATGTCTGTTGTTTACCCAACAAATAGACTAAAGAAAAAAAAACGTTGATCTGTTTCTCTCTCCTCAAAAAAGCGGAGACCTCCAAACTTCCATGATAGTCGCCAGTGGAAGACTAGGGCGAGTAGAGTAAAGGAGAAACATCTCTCGATCTTTCTTTTGAGTCACAGCCGGAGGTGAGCCAACAAAGGGTCAGAAAATCAAGAAACAAAAGTTTGCACCTTCAACCAGCAAAGGAACTGTGTCGCGCGTATGTAGCAAGTGTTTCCGCGGGAGTTCGTCGAGAAAGTTGGGACAAGATGCATGAACTGATTGGGAGGGAAGGCGTTTTTTCTTTTTCTTTCCCCTCCGTTTTTTTTTTTTTTTATTCTTTTTATTTTATTTTTTTTTTTGCCCTCGCTTAAGCTTTCTCGCAACATAAACTTGATCGAAAACACTTACTGCACATGCACAGGGTATCTAGTGATCAAGAAACAACAACGTACAACAAACGAGGAAACTGGGGAGACATGCAGTATCTTCCGATTCTGAATTTGGGTCAGAAGAATTTTGTGGGGTAGTATTTGGTGGAATCACCCAAAATATTTTGCCAGAAGAAAGGCGCTTTGCTGGGTGTCAAACCACGCGACTTATCAACCTGAGGCTCTTTTAGTGTGGTACATGCATTACAAAGTGGCCATTGCATGTAAACCCTATTACAACAACGATGCGTGTAAGTGTAACGAATTTCGTGAGTGACCTAGCCAACAAACTATAGTTTAAATGATTGTCTACGACATGCAAATTTACCCGTTTCAAATGAACGAAGATCAAAGCAATTGCTTGATGACGTCATAACATTTGATTGCCAGTGGGGTACTATTCATACATATACAGCTATTTTGAGAAAGGTTGTTGGAAAAAATGTGCTCGCGATAATACCGAAAGGTAATATGGGATATGATCAATACACTGTTCCTGACGACTGTAGCTGTCGAACCTACTTTTGTTGCTTTCCTTTACGCTCGCAAACACATTTCTATGGCTTTTGTGCCAATTCTGTCAAATTTGTTTGAAAAAGGAGAACTCAAAACCACCCACAACACCTTTCAGGATTGTAGCGTGCACTTTCCCGACAACCTCTCTCGAAATAGCTGTATACGTACATAAACTTTATTTTTCCTAGAATTCATGTTTTTAACGTTAACCAAGTAATTAAAGTTGAATAACTCTCAAAAATTATCCCAAAGAGCGATGCAAATTTTATTAAAAACTGCGACAGTTTAGTTTATTACTTGGAAAGCCTGAGATGGTGGGATACGATTTTCTTACAAATCGCGACAGGTATTACAAAATGCGATGATTATTACAAATTACAACAGTAAAATCGTTCACTACACTAGAACAACTTGTGGAGCAAATTCTAGTGCGGAAAACGCCGGCTACATCCAATGCTGGCAAATGTGAAGCTACTGAATATCGATGTTGTAGTTAATTTTTTATCTCAGGTAATTTTTGTTTTTCTTTTGTTTTGGGGTATGATAATGTACGCTAACGAAGTTGAAACAAAGGAAAAATAAAAATTACCTGTGATAAAAAATTAACTACAACATCGATGCCACTGGAAATAATTCTTGCATAATTTCGTGAATAACTCTCACAAATTATTCCAAAATTCGATGCAAATTTTATTAAAAACTGCCACAGTTTAGTTTATTACTTGGAAAGCCTGAGATAAAGTGGGATACGGTTTTTATTACAAATCGCGAGAGGTATCACAAAATGCGATGATTATTACAAATTACAACGGTAAAATCGTTCACTACACAGAACAACTTGAGGAGCAAATTCTAGTGCGGAAAACACCGGCTACATCCAGTGCTGGCAAATGTGAAGCTACGGAATATCGATGCCATAGGAAATAATTCTCGCATAATTTCGTGAAGGCGAACTATAAAAGTTTGAGGTAAGGAGTCAGTTCTTTGGGTAATGCTAGTGTTTTATGTTTTAGGGAATTTAAACAATAGCAAAGATTATTGAGCTTAGTATTTATTGAGCTTAGTATTCTTAATATTTTTTCGCCCATGCCACTCAGTTTGTAACGGTCAAGTCAGGCTATTGTTAACATAAATATTTGCTATTTATCGATAACACACTAGGGTTTTAAAAAAAAAATTAATAACAGGACTAAGGGCCTGTTTACATGGAGGTGGGGGACCCCAGGTAGGTGAGGTAACCCGCTTAGGTGAGGTAAAAAAATAACCCGCCTTTACATGCAATCTTACAACCCCGCCTTCCCGGGGTGCACTTTCTCAAGATTATTGAATGGTCGCTAAGCACGTAAACAAGAAAAATGCTGGCAAACCACGAGTTTTGGCGATTAATGCACTTTTTCACTCACTTGTTGCTCTTGCTGCAACCCGTCAGTGCAATAGCTTTCTATTGTTAACTTTAATCATAATGCAAAGACACCGCGAAAGTGAATTTTGCGCGAATTTGATGTATCACGAATCCGACCCCGGCCAGGCGGGTTACCCCACCTTGAAACGTTTACATGACAAATTGTGACCCCGGCTGAGAGGGTAACCCGGTCTGGTAGACCGGGCTACCCGCCTTGGCGGGTCACCCCACCTATCATGTAAACGTGATCAAATGAAAATGAGAGATTATATGGACAGGCGGGTTACCCCACCTAAGCGGGTTACCTCACCTACCTGGGGTCCCCCACCTCCATGTAAACAGGCCCTAAGATGTTTCTTTAATACTGAGCTAAACGCGTTTTTCACATATTATAAAACGTACCGTTCAAAAAATATTTACGTATCTTTTGTTAAATTCATGTATTAATTAATTTGTTTGTCTTGAAGCCATAAATAGTCAAGGTGTTAGAGGATGAAAACAACAGTACTTCAATTTGTCCATTTGCGTTCTAAATTATTAATCCTTTCATTTCGTTGTAGGTTAAACCCTCAAATATAGCCAAATATCTTTGCCGATAGAAGGATTATTTTCATAAATAGATGAAAGTTTAACTCTCTTTTCAGCAAAGACAATTAGCTGACATGACATGAGCTGGTCCCATCTGAAAGACCTGTTTCTCTCATGGTAGGTTGAATATCCTTTTTAGCTTTATTCGGTTATAATGTCCCACTGTCTTACGTGCACTAGAACCGCGTCCAGTTAGTTAACGAAGAGACTGATAATGACGTCGAAGCTTATATATAATTCCAAGCAGTTTG